AGCTGGACCAGTGCAGTGGGGCCAGTGGGCCTGGCCCTGCTGTTTAGAAGCACACACAGCACACACATCAACAACCTTCTCCTAGTAACTGTAGGGGTCACTCTCCCTATCCTCTACAGGCCTCGGGTGTTATCCCAAGGTCACTCTGGTTATACGCGTTCTTTAAATACACCACTGCTGGTTTTCTTGATGCACCTCGTTTTTCCAGTAACTAGTTCACTGCACAGTCGACAGACACAGCGCACACACACTGCACACTCACTTGGAGCATACGAGCGTGCGTGTGTCCACAAGATCTCCTCACACACGCATACACTGATTGCTCAGTTACACCACAATTTGGGGAGCCAGGTCACTTATCCCATTCAGTTGCTGCTTGCATCTGATCAGGATCAGTCGGAATGGCCTTGCCATCTGTAAAGCAGCCTTAGATTTGTGTGTTTCTTTCGCACTTATTGCAAGATTAATGATGGAGGATTGGGTGGTCTAAGGGAGTTGGCTAGTTACAAGGGCTCTGCTATACTTTTGGTGTGGACTTAAGTTACTGCTCTTTCTTGCTAAATTGATGATTCATTGCCTACCTGTACCCTGACTGTTTGTAGCTATCATTTTCAAGATTAGAGTCATTCTATGTTCCTAAATCATGCTGAAATTGATATGGGTACCAGTAGCAATAAGATCCCCATGTTAAAGCCTGGGTGCAACACTATTAGGGAGAATAGCGGGCAAATACGTCGAGACTCCAATTGGACCACATACCGTATAATTCTCCCACAACACGACCGACTTATGGCCAAAATTTTCCCCAGTGCACTGGGTCAACCCTTTTCCAACACCACAGGAACACTAGGGATCTTATTCCAACCGACAGAAACCATATTTAAACGATATATACACCTTGTACAACTCTCTCAAGAGCCCAGCTTCCTTACATAGAGGGCTTCTGCAATACTTGAAAGAAGCACCTACATACCGTAACGTGGAATTAAGATTTAGCTTGCGCGAGGTACAACTCTGCAACCTCTCCTGCTGACGAGGCATCGTCTGGAAGCCTGTCCAATCGGACTGACGCAAACCTTGGGAAGCGCAGGGAAATCCCGCGAGTGGAATGCACCAACCCCAAGGCTGCTTGATGCACGGGCGACAAACTCAAATCTGAAACATGGTTTGGAGGTTACATGCGAGGGGAAATGAAACAGGTAGAGGGGAAAGAGAGGAGGAGAAACAGAAAGGAAGAAAGAGAAGGAGAGAGGGAACAACGAGAAGGGAGGAACAAGAAGGAAGAAGAACCAGGAGAAAGAGAAGAGCCAAACAAGAACTAGAGGTAAGAAGTGAGGCGAAACAGGATGATGAGAAACACGAAGGAGAAACCACAAGGGAGGAGAAACAGAAGAGCGAAGCGAATGGAGCAGCACAAGGGGATGGAGGCCCAGCGACGCAAATCTCCCACACTTTCATGTGGAAAGCGCAGATTGTGAGGAGCCTCAGAACCAGAACCTACCGGCGAAGCGAATCTCCCACACTTCGTGAGGAACGAACCACACGTCAGGCTCTTCCAGAGTGGCCACATACGGGGGCTTGCGTGGCAGCATCAGCTCCTCACTCTCACGATACCAAGACGTTGCCTGGAGTGATGAGTAGTGCGGAGAGAATGGTGGGCGGGTCAGGATAGAATTACAATGGGTTGTGCCTTGAGACGAAGCGTCTCGTAGCAAGCTTCATACCACGGCTCATGGATACAAAACGAGGTGACTTTTGAGTCGACTCAAAAGTCTCCTCATAGCAAGCTTCATACCATGGCTCATAGACACAGAACGCTGCCATCGAGGTACCTTACACAGCGGCAAGGGAATCGGCAATTCAGACATGCATGGAGATTGGAAAGCATGCGCCTGCAACAACATGAACAGTCTTGGCTATGCGCCTTGCGACCGTTGCCATGCCATGCGCCGATGGGCACCAGATCAAGGGAGTCACCAAGCCCAGCCACGTAGTCTCGCTTCACCTGCCGGACGGTATGATGGGTGTGGGATGGGCACGGGAGGCATTGACGGGGTACGTATGTGGGACATGACATGGGGCACCAGATCCAAGGAGCACCCAGCCAGTCCTGCCACATAGTCCGGCTTCACCTGCCGGCCGCATGGTGGTGGTGGTTCGTTGGCATGAGGGGCATGGGGAGAGCGAGGGGCATGGGGGGAATGGGGGACAAGGGGGAAACGGGGGAGTACGAGTGGCCTAAAGAGACACCTCAGTCAAGCACACTTCAAACAACCCATGCGTCCATGTCCCCGTGCCCACCTTGAGCCACGAGTCAGAGCGCTTGTTGGGGCAGTAGAAGGAGGGAGGGCCGTCCAGCAGCTTCACCATCAGCCAGCAAACGCCGGCACAATTCAGTCAAGCACAATTTCACCCATATCCCCCCCTCCCCTCCCCGTCCCCATGCCCTCACGCTCCCACCTTGAGCCACGAATCGGAGCGCTTGCTGGGGCAGTAGAAGGAGGGGGGCCGTCCAGCAGCTATCTTATGCAGGAGATTTTTGAGACTTCTAAAATAACCCCCCCATGCCTCCATGCCCCCACACCCACCTTGAGCCACGAGTCGGAGCGCTTGTTGGGGCAGTAGAAGGAGGGGGGGCCGTCCAGCAGCTTCACCATCAGCCCCTCGCACCCGCGCTCTATCGCCGCGCCTAGGCTTGCCTCTACGGATCCGCTACCACTCTCCTCTATTGCCTCTACCGTCCCTGCTGCTACTGCTGCAGATGCTCCTGCTGTTGGTGATGCTGCTGCTGCTGCTGCTGCTGCTGCAGGTGATGGTGCCGCTGTTGCTGCTGCAGCTGCTGGTTCTGCTTCTATCTCCATCTCCCTTGGTTGCACTGGCAGGCCCTTGTCTGCAGGGCCCTGGTGTGTTGCTGCTACTGTTGCTGCTGCTGCAGCGGTTGCTGCTGATACTGCAGCTACTGCTTCAGATTCTACCTCCATCTCCCTGGGCTGCACTGGCAGGCCCTTGTCTGCTCGGCCCTGGAGCGCTGCTGCTGCCGCTGTTGTCACTGCTGCTACTGGTGCTGCTGCTGCTGCAGCGGTTGCTGTTGATACCGCAGCTGCTGCTTCAGCTTCTATCTCCACCACCCTTGGCTGCACTGGCAGACACTTGTTTGCTCGGCCCTGGTGTGTCACTGCTGCTGCCGCTGTTGCCGCTGCTGCTACTGGTGCTGCTGCTGCAGTGGTTGCTGCTGTTACTGCTTCAGCTTCCATCTCCATCTCCCTTGGCTGCACTGGCAGGTACTTGTCTGCAGGGCCCTGGTGTGCTGCTGCTGCTGCTGCCACTGCCCCTGCTGCTGTTGTTGCTGTTGCTGGTGCTGCTGCTGCAATCTGTGCAGCACAAGCAGGCAAGCACAGGCAGTGCCACGAGTATTATGAGGCGATTTTTGAGTCGACTAAAAAAAAGCACAAGCAGGCAAGCACAGGCAGTGCCACGAGTATTAAGACCACGGGCCATTCTCAGTCATCACAACAAGCACGGATCATGGGCTCACGGCTCCACCTTCGGACGAGTCATTTGAGTCCAGTGGTCCATATCCTGAGCTGGTGGGTTGTCTCATGTACCTGATGACCTGTACTCGCCCAGACCTAGCTTACCCTCTTAGCGTCCTTGCGCGCTTTGTTGCGCCTGGGAGACACCGACCTTCCCACTGGTACGCGCCTAAGAGGGTGGCGAAGTATGTGGCGAGTACATCAGGCATGAGACTTGTCCTTGGAGGGAAGCAGCCAGTTACACTTACAGGTTACTCGGACTCGTCGTGGGCCGACGACGCGGAGACGCGTCGGTCTACACAGGGGTACTCCTTTAGCCTCGGGGCAGGTGCTGTTTTGTGGCGGTCGACTCGGGCGTCGTCTGTCGCCGGTTCCAGCTGTGAGGCTGAGGTGTACGCCGCGGCCATGGCCGCTCAGGAGCTTCGCTGGCTGTCTTTCCTTCTCACCGACCTTGGTGAGCGGCCTCGCTCTCCCCCAGTCTTGTTCGCCGACAACAGGTCTGCTGTCCTGTTGTGTGAGGAGCCCCGACTGGTTGGGAAGGCGAAACACATCCACCTTCGTTATTTCTTTCTGCGTGAGTTGCAGCAGCGTGGCCAGGCCCGCGTGGTCCGTGTGGTCTCTGAGGCCAACACTGCAGATATCTTCACCAAGGCGTTGCCGCCTTGTGACCACCAGCGTTTCCGCACCCAGCTTGGCCTTGTGCCTGCCCGTCCTCACTTGCTTACGTAGAGATGCATTGTCCTGCATGTCTTGTACTCTTGCATCTATATATATTTGCTATATACCTGCATGTGGACTGGCCTTGTGGCCCCTTGCTTGTTCTCGGAGTGTGTGGTGACTTTGAGCTCCACCCTGAGATTTGTCTTGTTCTTGTGGACTGGTCCTGTGACCGTTGCTTGCTATTGTTGTTTCTACAGGACTACCGTCACCTAGACTATGGGGGTGTGTCAAACTATATTTCTATAGCTTGTGTAGTTCTAGTCTAGGTGTTCTCCCTTGTGTTATTTTTGTACTTGCACTAGGGTTAGGTTTTCATATATCTTGTTTGTACTTTCTGTTTTTTACTTAACTTTTACATTGTGACTGTAAAGGCTTGTGAAAGACATGCAGCAGGAAGGGAGGAACAACAGTCCCCGGGCAGCAAGAGAGAGGAGAGGAGGTGCTCACCTGAGGGCGCGCAGAGCATGGAATAGGCGGTGGATGGTGAGGGGCTGGGGGGCGCGCAGCAAGCGCTGAGAGGAGCGGCATGCGTGAGCCACATCGCCTGGGTGGGATGGAGGAGGAAGCGGGGGAGTGGGTATGGTGCACATTTGGGATGTTGAAGGATTGGGACAATGGATGGCAATGTGAATGGGATGAGATGGGATGTTGGTGGTACTGGGAAAAAGAGACACTACAAGTGATGTGTAGTGGTAAGGAAAATGACAACAACAAAACCAAAGAATAAAGAAGAATGTACCAAGGTCGCCCATGCGTGTGTACATGAGTCGCAGCTGCTGCCTCTTCATGCCTGTTGCTTCACACACGGCACCAGCCACAGTACCCCCTCCCACGTTCAGGTCCTGTTGGGGGAGAGGAGGGGCAGGGGGACAGGGAGAGGACGTGGTTAAAGAAAAACTCATTATTTTGTCGAATATAAAATCGGCTCATTGAACGTGCATCTCTCATGCAACACACTTCACATTCCACTTGAAGTTGACTCGAAAAAGGAACATGATCACACGCCACATATTAAGTTGAGTTGAACTTCTAAGTTGAGTATCGTAACCGTTCATATGTGTCCGTTGCAGCACGCCACATCAGCACTATCCCACTCCCTGCGATTTCATTTGCAGTCCCCTGCCTTGCTCCGCTAATCTATTCACACAATCGCAGCACTTCAAAACAGGCTGTATCTGCTGGCGACACAGACCTGTGGAGTGGACAAATAGGTGGTTGATTGAATGCACGCAAAGGAACACAGTGTGCAGTGCAGCATTGGGGTAATCCTTACAGGGCGGAGAATGAGCGAATGAGAGGATGAGTGGGCTCACAGCATTGACAAAGTCGGGAGCGATGCGATTGGTGCAGAGGTAGACGGCTGGCAGCAGGTCATTGGGCGAGAGTGCCAAGAGGCTGGTGCAGGGTAACAGAGAGAGAGAGCATGAGGGTGCTGATAGACGTGATGGGCCAGCATTAAGCAATGCATGCAAGGCTGCCAACAAGGAATTTCAATGCTGCGCGGCACAGCATGGGTTGCAGGCTGGACGGGGGCTTTGAGACGGCCTCAAAGCACAGTGGAGTGAGAACAGCAGTTGCACTTGCACCTCCGCATAGCTCATGACGCTCGTGTGAATGAATGGCACACGGTCCAGGCAATAGTCAATGTCGCAGCAACCTCTTGCGCAACTCACCAACACCTTTTGTCAGACTGCATGCACATCTGCGAACAAAAGAGTTTTCATTTGGACTGCATGCAGGATCCGCTCATAATGTTATGTGTAAGAGGGACGGCAGAGCACGTACCTTCTGAAGGTGTTGGTGAGAATGTCGCTTGACTTGATGCGCCCACTCTCCCTCTCCACTGCATCGAACGCCACTGCCAGATGCATGTAGGGCGCTGCCGCTCCCTCCTCCCACCCCGCTGTTGTGCACCGGACGCATGGTGTGGTGTGGAAAGGTGTGACGTATGGCATGGCATGGCATTTCATGGGATGGCATGGCATTTCATGGGATGGCATGGCATTTCATGGGATGACATGGCATTTCATGGGATGGCATGGCATTTCATGGGATGGCATGGCATTTCATGGGATGGCATGGCATTTCATGGCATGGCATGGCATTTCATGGGATGCGCATTGCATGTCATGGGATGGCATGGCAATTCATGGCATGGCATGGCATTTCATGGGATGGCATGGCATTTCATGGCATGGCATGGCAACGTGATGATGTGGTATGGTATGTGTTGGCATGGAATTCCAAGAGGATCGAGGTGTGCGTATGATATGATTGTTGTGTTTGTGTGATGTGAGCATACAAACACAAACACACATGCGCATACACGCACAGGACACAGGACACGGCCCACAGCCCACAGCACACATGAGAGTCCACGGACCATGTGTGACGGGATCAAAGGCTGCAACACCGAGCGCCACAGGTGGTACTGTACCCTTCCCACTAGATGCTGCTGCTGCTACTGCTGCTGCTGCTGCTGCTGCTGCTGCTGTTGACACTCTTGACTTCACTGGCGCTGCTGCTGCTGACCCTGCTGGGGTTGCTGCTGCTGATTCAGTTGCTGCTGCTGCTGCTGCTGCTGCTGCTGCTGCTGCTGCTGTGGCTGCTGCACATTCAACATCCTGCAACCTTGCTGGTTGCACAAGCACCGCTGCATTGGTCACTACAGTAGCCTCCAAGCCTACCCTGTCCCCTTTCCTCGTTTCCACCCGCTCCCCCTCCGTTTCTCCTCGTCTTCCTTCCACCCCACAAGAAACTTCACCTAGCGCCTTCTCTCCAACCCCTTCAGCTCCCCCTCGCTCCTCCTCTAAACACTTCCTATCATCCTCTCCTCCCTCTCTCGCGCCTCTCTCTCCCTCTCCTCCCTCTCCTGTCCCCCCCTCTCCCTCACCTCCCTTCCCCTCTCCCTCTCCTCGCTTTCCCTCTCCCTCTCCTGCTCTTCCCTCTCCCTCTCTTGCTTCTCTTTCTCTCGCTCCTCCCACTTCCTCTCCTCCCTCTCCCACTTCCCCCTCTCCTCTTCCCACTCCTACCCCTGCTCCTCCCCCTGCTCCTCCCTCTCCCCTGCTCCCTGCCCCTCCCCCCGCGCCCTCCACATGCATCAGAAAGGCATCCATGGCTCTCCCCACATCCCCCCCATGCGCCTTCAGCAACCTCACCGCCACTGCAGCCGTCAGCCCCGGCAGCCCCACCGCCACCATCCTCTGCACCGCACTGCACCCCTCCGCACGCAGCCGCGCAGGAGCAGCAGGACGAACGGGCGAAGGGGGGTGATCAGAGGAGCCATTAACTTGAGCGGTGGTGAGAGGCTGGGTAGCAGCAGGAGGCGTGCTGGTCACCATCTGCACCGCACTGCACTCCTCTGCTGCACGTTCCAGCCCCACTGTGTCAACTGAGCACGGTAACGATGGTGCTGCTGCTGAGGAGGAGCCAAAGAAGTGCTTGATGCTTCGCTGCGTGCCCCCTACCCTCGCCACCGCCGCACCCCCTCCTCTCTGCTGCTTGCCCACGGATTTCCTTCCTGCCTCTGTCCGGGACCTGGAACGCGCCCCTCCTCCCCCACCTCCCCCTCCTCCTCTCGACCCTCTCATGCGTGTGCTTTGTTTGGCCTGACTGCCAGGCGTTGCACCTGGCCTTGTGTCAGGCCTTACACTGAGCCCTGTAATGGGTGTCTTACCAGGCGTCAAACTGCCGGTGCGCAGGGTGTTGTTGACTCGCCTGGCCTTGTCCCAGTCTTTGTGCCTGACCTCGTGCTTGTGCAAGTCGTAACATCACCGTTGCTGTCGCTACCAGCCCCACACGGCTCCAACCGCCGCCGCTTCGCGGCTGGTAGTAGCCCGTCAGAAACCGCCACATCGTCGTGCAACGTTGCCACGTCAGCAGGACCCGCCTGGTCTAACTCCTCCACACACCCTCCACCCTTACCACCGCACACTTCCCCTCCACCCTCCCCTTCTTCCATTCTCTCCGCCTTCCCCTCACCACACACATCACCAGCACCTCTTTCCAAAGAGAACAACCCCTCTGCTTGCCCCTTTTTCTCCTCTCTCATCTCCCCGCCCTCCTCTCCCTCATCTTCTATCTTTTCCTCTCCTCTCTCCTCCCAACCTGACTCAACCATACACCCTCCCAAACCCTCACCTCCTCCCCCCCTTTCCTCTCCCCCTCCGACACCCCCACCCCCTCTCTCCACTTCTCCCTCACTCTCTCCCCCCACCACCACCCCTCCTCGCCCCTCTCTCCGCCTTCCAAACCCAGCCAAAAACCGCTGCTTACATGCCGACTCATCCACCAAACCTCTCAGATGATGCAGCTGATTTGTACCGGGGCGTGCTGTCTCACCCGTGTTGACAGTGGGGATGATGCGGTGGGGGCGCAGGAACGAGAGGAAGGAGCGCAGCTCAGAGAAGCTGCAGTGCTCACTGTATGGCACCAGGTGAATCTCCAGGTCCATGCGCATGCCCCTGCTGCTGCGGTCTTCCCGCATGCTCTTACCCCCATCACTCATGCCCATGTCCCTCCCGTCTACCATACCACTGCTGCTCATGCTCACACCCTTTTCCAACGCCTCCATCCCTCCCGTCCCCTTTCCCGTGCCCATGCCCACGCCCACTTCCCCCATATCCAACCCCGCCTCCTCTCCCCCCACACCCACCGCCCCCTCCTCTGCCTCCACACCCACACCCCGCTCCTCTCCCCCAACTACCACACTCTTCCTCCTCACCGGAAACCCTTCCCGCTTCATCTCATACATCCACCCAGTCGGCACCACCCCCACCACCCTCCCGCACCCCCGCTCCCTACCCAGCCGCTCCATATTCCGCCAATTCGGCCGGAAGAACGGCCACACGTCCCCCAGAACCCCCCAGCGCACCACATGCACGGGACTGGCCGCAGGATCCGTGGTGAACACTGCGAGTTCTGCTGGGGTTAGGTCGAGGGAGCGGAGAGTGTTGAGCTTGGCTGGGTCGACGACAATGCGGGTGTGGCAGTGGGAGGCTGTGGAGAGGAGGAGTTTCTCTTTGCCTATCACGTAGGTGGATACGAGGATTAGCACTCGGTCGTTGCTGTGTGGCTTGCGCTGCTGCTCCTCTGCTGATGCCGCCGCCACTGATGCCGCTGCTGCTGTTGCCGCTCCGACTCCTCTCCCTTGTGCAACATCCATGGAATCGACACCCTGCTCTGTGCCTGCTGCTTTCCCTGTACAACCCTCTACTGTGTCTGCTGCATCTGCTGCCTCTGCTGCTCTTGAGATCCCACTCACCTCGCCACATCCCCTTTGCCTGACGCCCTCTGCCTCTCCCTCTGCCTCGTTCTCCCCATGTTTCTTTCCACCCCTATCTCCTTCGCCGCCCCCTCCCTCCATCCCGTCCCCTCCTTCCACCCCAACCCCCACCTCCTCCCCTTCCTCCTCTCCCCCATCCAAGCCACCTCCCAGGCCCTCACCTCCTCCTCCATCCTCTCTCCCTCTTACCTCACTCCCTCTCCCCCTCTCCCCCCCTTCCCCCAGCACTCTCCGCACCATCTGCGCCACATACTGCACGGCGTCGCTCTGGGGGGGGAACACGTGGCGCGGGTGGCAGTACGTGGTGTCCAGATACACTGCATCTGCGCCCACCATCGCCTGCATCACAGGGTCCCCAAGCATGCATGGGCTCAGCCGGAAATCCCCTGTGTGCACCACTCTCCGCCACTTCACTTCCCCCCGCTCCCCCTGCTCCTCTGATCCCCCCTCCCCTTCCCCCTTTCCCCCTCGCGGATCCCCTTCCATCCTCTCTCCTCCCCCCATCTCCCCTTTTGCGCTATCTTTGGACTTTCGCCTGCCTTCCGCCAGAAACTTCCCCTGCCCTCTCCCCCCCTGCCTCCCCCGCTCCTCCGCCGTGCTTCCCCCCACGTCCCCCCCTGCAGGCGGAATGCGGAACAGCAGCATGACAGCCCCCGGGCAGTGGTGCGCGTCCCGCAGCACCACGCGCGCGCCATCCACCGCCACGGGCGCGCGCAAGGGGAGCGCGCGCACCCACGCGGGGGGAATCCCGAGCACCTCGGAGAGGAGACGCGCAGTGACGGGGGAGCAGAAAATCACCCCCGCGCGCCAAGAGGGGGAAAGGCCGCAGTAGTGGTCCGCGTGGAAGTGCGTGAGCAAATAGCATCGCGACCACGGCCCCGCGTGGCGGAAACCGTCCACGATAAAGCGCGTTCCGATAATACGCTTGTGTGCTGGGAAATTTCGAGGAAAGGGCTCGAGAGAGTCAGTCGCAGTGGGGTGATCCGTTGCGCTGATACCGAGGCTGTTTCTAGCGAGTGCGAACTCTCGAGTGCTACAGTACTCGGGGATGTCGTGTTCACCGCCGTCCATTGGTACTCGAGCGTGTTAGGGCGTGTTTCTGGAATGTGTCAGGCTTTCTGACATAGGCTTTTCAACTTGCGGACGTTGACACGTTGACGGCAGTGACGACGAGTCGCATTTACGGCCGTCAGTACCTTTGGCGTGAGAAGGCTCGGTCGGCACGGGTATACTATCGGAGCTCCTACTAGACAACAGTGTGTTCATGAGGCTGAATGTCCTAATAGCTATGGGACATCAGCAGTGGCTTCCTCTTGACGCTATTCGAACGTGTGATACAAACTGCTGCACTCTCAAGAGAACACTATCAGAAGCATCAGTAACATTTTTGTGAATAATTGAGATACAAATATCGGAACAAGCGATATTATTGTCAATAAAACAGTTAAACCAACTGAAAGAAGTACATACAAGTGCCTCACGCACATCTATGTTGACAGAATCACGCTCCTGAGGTACTCTTCCTGCCCTAACCCTACTTATCCATGGTATCTGACTTCAACGTGGATATCCTTATAGAGCATTCTTGAAGCAGCTACAAATGGGGCATTGTAGCTCTTCGGCACAACCGGAACACACCACGCTCTTGTTCCTGCACCGCAAGGGCGCGATCGCGAAGCCTGCACGACTTCATGTAACCCGAACCCGCCATTTCGTGCAGTACACTTTGTTTGCTAAATCAAAGCACTACTGTCGAACCTCCCTAGATTCCTCCGCAACACAGTAATCCGTCATCCTCTCCTCGCATGTCAACGTCACGTCTGCTCTCGCTCTCATCTCATCTCGAGTTCCTTTCGACGGGCAGCCAGGATGAATGACATGCACCGTCACACTCGAATGCTGCTCCCGTAACCAGTCAGATCCCATGGCCTACCAGTCACAGGTCATCAGTCACACGGCCCACGGCTCTTCCTACGGCCGTCTTCTGCGTTCCGCTCGCCCACCGCATCAGCCGCTCACTCTTGCTTCATCGCCCAGCCTTTTCCAGAGCTCTCCGTTCGTTTTTCCCCATGGGAGGTCGGGTTGCCCGGCAGTTGTGCGCCGCGGCTGCCGCGCGCTCGCGACGCCCTCGCCAGCCTATTTATACGCGACTGCCAACCATTCAATTCACGCAATCAGCGAGATCGAGCCCGTTTCTAATTTTCTCTGGAATTTGCAGGATTAGCCCAAATTTTAGGCGCCAAAATAATTAGTCCATCAAACGTCATCACGAGTTAGCTCTCAAAAGCCCAGTATCGTCGGCCACGATGGCTTTCGTGCGTTTCCTGGTCGTTCTGCTTTCCGCCTCCGCCGCGCTCTCGTCCATACCTTCCGCGCGCGCGCAGCCCTCGTGTCCGCGCCCGCCGACGGTGGCGCAAGTGAACCTCTCCGCGTACGCGGGGCGGTGGTTCGAGATCGGCACGAGCGCGCGCTTCAAGCTGCAGCGGGAAAACGGCCTCGTGTGCAACCAGGCGCGCTACACGTTCAGCGCGGGGAGCGGGGGGAGCGCGGGTGGCGCCGACGCGGGGACGAGCGGCGTCAGTATCAGGGTGGAGAATTCGGGGCGACTGGTAGCGTCGCCCGCTGTGTTGCAGAGCATGGGCAGTGTCGCTGGGAATAGCCGAGACGCGTGCATGTGAGTGGAAGCGAAAAGGGAGGGTGTGGGAGGGATGGAAGAAGTGGGGAGGGGATGTGTTAGGAAATCGAAGCGGTCCTGCAGTTTTATGGCAGGGCCTTGAAGGAGAGAGGTGTAGTATCCCGTACGTACATGATACTACACCTCTCTCCCTCAAGCCTCTCTCAGAAAACTGCAGGTACCGCTTCAGTATTCTGACAGCAAAGAGAGAGGGGATTCGAAGTTGGGGGGATGAGGGGAGGCTTATTCAGTCAGCAATAGCCGTGGGTGACCATCTAGATTCCCGTTGTGGAATGTGCTTGCTTCGCCTTTCCCTGCCATTGAATCTGTCTCTCTTGTTTCTCTCCTCGCCCTGCGCCATTTCCTTCCTCATCTTCCCCCTACCATTCTATGCACAGTGCCCTGGCGAACGTGTCCTCTGCTGCGGCCTCTGCTCTGGAGCTGCTCCAGTCACAGCCACAAGCTGCTGCTGCCTGCTCACAGGTACGCAAACTGCGGGGGTGCTGCTTCTGCTGCTGCTGATGGTTTGTTGTCTCCTGCTGATGTATTGCCGTCCGTTTCTCATCTTCTCCTTTTCGGCCGGTATCCATCCTCCTGTTCCCCCACCCACAGGCCAACATCACAAACGAGTTTCTCAATATCGAGGCGTCAGCGCGCAGCATCTCCGCGTCCATCGCCGCCATGGCTACCCTCGCAGCGCGCATCTCCCAACTCGACTTCCACAACGCGTCTCTCAACCTCCTCTCCAACCAGCTGCTCCTGTATGCATCCGCATCCGCGGATAAGGCCGGCCAGATAGCATCCGCTGCAGCAACTATTCAGAATGCTACTAGCGCAAACTGTGACAGCTCTGTGTCAACAGCAGCAGCGAGTATCCTCGCATCTGCGAATGCTCTTCGGGATGCGTTGAACCGGGTGGGAGCAGCAGTGGCTCCTTTCGCTGGATCTGACATTCTCTCTATTTCCTTGGCTTCCGTCGCCAGCGTTCCTCTTCCCTTCGGCGGGATCCCAACCTCGGTGTTTGGCCAGGCTGTCCCCAGTACTAGCGACCCCGCTAAGCTCACAGTCACCTTCGATCTTTTCCCTAGTACCTCTACCGAGCCCAACTACTGGATACTCGCGCTGGATGGGAGCGAGGCGGAAGGTTATTTCTCCGCGCTGGTGTTCTCGTGCACGGAACCCCAGGGATTGGATCCTACCCCGCGCATGGACGTGTTTATGATCTCTAGGTCGCCTGATATGCCCGAAGACGAGTTGCAGGAGATGCTGGGGGTTCTGTCTGGGTACGGAGTGGGTCTAGGCTGCGATAACCCGTTTGTGCGCACCGTGCAGGACCGTGCTAGGTGCGGCTATTAGAATTAGGTAGGTAGGTAGGTACCTAGTCGTTTTCTTAGCACTAGGTTGCCAACTTGCCATGCCTTACAGTAACTGGTACGGTAACTGCTTCTTGGGAAGAACCGTACAGATGTTTGCACTCTTTGCTCTACTCCATCCCTTCAAGTGAGCTAGCTGCGGTATGGTATGCTCTGATCTGTAGATTTGTTCAGTCAAACTGGTCGAGTACCATACAATCACTCATCAGCCCAGTGCCACTGACCAGGCTGGAGATCTTGCTTGAATTGAAAACTGTCAGAAATTGTATGTCTACGTATAACTGAATATTAGACTAGCTAGTGTAGTATCTCTTCTATTGTTGGTGGTATACCCCCTTAACCACCTTCCCTTGCCCTATATCTTGTATCTCTCTCTATAGTGAACCCCCTTCTTTGTTGGCCAACTTCCTCTTCCCTAAACCCAAGGCTCCTAATCTAGTCTTGACAAAAACCAACTCTTCCAGTGGTTTGAGTCATTGGCATACGGTACCAGAAGCTCCTCAAAACCATCAACTACGGTAGTAGATGATTACAGATCAGTGTATGGAATGGACCTATTTTGCCTACAGGTGGTAGCTATAAAAAACTACACTTGGTTACGTACTGAATATGGACAGAGTACCAGTAAAAGCTGGCATAACAATGTGTTAGGATCAGGAAAAGCCCTTCATATTTCCAAATGCGTTACCAGCTACAATACATCACGTGCCTAGCATTATATACACAAGTGGTGGGTACCTTTATCAGAGCGGTTAGGCAATGTTGGGTTGGTACATAGCTGGTGGTACCAGTAGTTATCTCGTGTCAGATACCGTACCTGTGTCGGTATTCACGCTCATCAGCGCACATCTGCAGCAGACAGAAAGAAAGTCGATGCAATGCAAGGAAGAAGCATGCATGACGAGGAGGAGGTTCAAATCAAGGGCTTTGCGGGGCTATACAAATTGCGAGGCACGCCCGTCTTACCCTAAACCAAGGCCAGAACTCGTCCGCCCCTCGTACAGTTTTCCCTTACGTCAATGAGACGCATAGTGAGGATGAGTCGTGTTTTGAGTCGACCCAGAACACGTGAGGATGCGTGACTAACCCCCTCCTCACTTCCTTCTTCCTCTGCCTCTCGCCCTCTTCACACTCACACCCCCGCAAACTCACTCCTCTCCTCTCCTTCACACAAAATGCACGCACACGCACACGCACATACACATACACACATGGAGCGCGGACGGCAGGGGTGAGATAGCGCATGCGCGGTGCATCTAGCCACACTCTTGAGTCCACTCAAAAGACAAACTACTAGTGCTATTTTATGCCGCACCCTGCCCAACTCACCCACACATGCATCGCCCTGTGGTTCGTAGGGGTGTATGCAGGACACACAGCCACACGCTTTTGAGTGGACTCAAAAGTCTTAGGTACTAGTGCTATGCTAGAATGTACCCTGCGCTACTCACCAGCACATGCATCGCCCTGTGGTTCGTAGGGGTGTATGCAGGAACACACAGCCACACGCTTTTGAGTGGGACTCTTAGTCTAACTACTAGTGCTATGCTATGCCGCACCCTACCACACTCACCAACACATGCATCGCCCTGTGGTTCGTAGGGGTGTATGCAGGAGCACTGCGCATGACCTTGCAGGACCACACATGCAGCATTGGCACCGCACTGCACCGCTTCGCATGACGCTGCTGGGGGGTGGTGGGGGCGGAGAGTGCAGGGTTGCGATTGGTGACGGTTGGGAAATTGCACACAGTAACACACAGCTATGCACAGCAACACACGGCTATGCACAGTAACATACGGCTATGCACAGCAACACACGGCTATGCACAGCAACACACACCTACACACAGTTACACACAGCTATATGCTAGTGTGTGCACACATGGTCTTGATTGTAACTCTAGTATACGTCTGCATGCAGGAAGGCAATTACACACATGCAGACATGCAAGAGCGCATACAACTCACTTGGATCCTCTGGTGCGCGTCGGCGTGCAACAGGGCGGGCACACGTGAAGGCCCGGCGGGTGAGGTGAATGCACACAGTGTTGGATGGGCAAAGCTGACAGCGGTCTGTATGGAGGATTGGGGAGAGGAGCAAGATGGGAGAGGAGAGAACGTTGTGTTTTGGCTGATATTAAAAAACACGTGTGAAGGCCCGGGGTGTGAGGTGAATGCACACAGTGTTGGATGGGCAGAGCTGACAGCGGTCTGCATGGAGGATTGGGGGAGACAGGGGAGAGGAGGAAGAAGGGGGAGAAGGGGGGAAAGGTGAATGTGTACTGTAGCGAATGGGCATTGATTTGTCGAAGAAAGCACATGTGAAGGCCCGGGGTGTGAGGTGAATGCACACTGTGTTGGATGGGCACAGCTGACAGACAGCGGTCTGCACGAAAGTCCAGAGGGGAAAAGAGGAGAGGGGTGAGGGGAGAGGGATTTGTGTTATAGCTGACTCTAAAAAACACATGTGAAGGCCCGGGGTGTCAGGTGAATGCACACAGTGTCGGATGGGCACAGCTGACAGACAGCGGTCTGCGTGCGGGGTGGAGTGGAGGAAGAGGAGACGGGAGGAAGGCGCGGGGGATTCAGTCGAGTCTAGAGGCACATGTGATGGACCACACAGTGCTGGCTGGGTCTTGTTTGCAACGGTCTCCATGGTGGGAGAAGAAAGATATGGGAGAGGGGGGGGATGGGGAGGATGGGGAGAGAGGACTGAGCGGAGAAGGGAGAGGAAATGGGAGGGGGGAGAGTGGAGAGTGAGATGAGTTTGAGAAGAGAGGGGTGGATTGCAGTGGCGACGCAACAGTCTAGAATCGGACGCCACGACATGAGAGGGAATGGCATGGCATGGCATGGCATGGGCAAGGCATGGGCATGGGCACGGGCACGGCATGACATGGCATGACGTGGCACGCGATGGCATCAAAGGTCCTACCTATGCACGCCCTCTTCTTTTGGTAGAACCCTGCCCAACACACACAGCGCACACTCCTCCCCACCACCCGGCAGTCGCTATATTCTGGACACCTGGTCACTGTGCAGGGGTCTGGGGAGGGAGGGAGAGGCAGGAAAGGAACCGAAGGTCTGATAGATCATAGGGCCCAGCAAGAACACACACAGAGCGCACACACCTCCTCCCCACCCCACCGCCCGGCAATCGCTATACACCGGACACCTGGTCACTGTGCAGGGGTCTGGGGAGGGAGAAGAGGAGGGAGAGAGGGGAAAGAAAGGGTTGCTATGGGGCCGGCCGGACACGGTCAGGCAGGAAGGTGGTCACTGTCGGGCGAGCTGAGTTTTGAGTCGACTCAAAGAAGGGTTGGTGTGGGGCCGCACACCTGGCCACCGTCAGGTTCGCAGCATGGCCCAGCTGCCACTGGCCCAGCTGCCACTGGCCCAGTTCCTACCACGATAGCCAGGTCAGCCCAGACCAGACAAGTGGTCGCTTCGCAGGGGTCTGGTGCGGTTGAGAGGCAAGAAGGGCTGGCCAGCCGGGTGGATTGGGTCTGCTACTGGCAGGTATCAGACTCGCCTGCCTGCCTGTCTCAAGAAGCAATGCTTTGATCTTACAGAGTGGAAAAAGGTTTCGAACCGCAATGATTTTACCACAGGTTTGACATAAGTCAGACGACGATTAGACAATGATAAGAGGCGTCTCCGGCCAGGCCTCACCCACGCACGTGACTTTTGAGTCGACTCAAAAGTCACCTTGGTTGGCCGTGGGAAACGCACTTGGCCGTGCTTATTGACAGGCAACACAACACACGGCCTTCCAGCCACACTGCATGCGTGCACACACGCACGCACGCACGCACGCACGCACCCACACACACACACACACACACACACACACACACACACACACACACACACACACGTGTGTGTGTTCTCCTGCTTCACACAAACATGCATTCCGGCTCGACTCGACTCACCCACACACGTGCGGTTGGCTGTGAGGAACGGCCGCTCACACACGCACTTGGCCGTGCCTCCCAACGCGCGGCACTTGGCCTTTCCCGCACACTGCATGCGCGAACACACGTGCTGGGACGGAGGCCGGCTGGGTATAGGGGGATGGCTATGGGACGGAGGGCGCGATCGGGAGGGTGGGCGGCGGGGGGCAGGGGTGCGTTTGGGGGAAGGGGGAGGTTTGGGGGAGGGGGTGCGTTTGGGGGAGGGGGTGCGTTTGGGGGAGGGGGTGCGTTTGGGGGAGGGGGTGCGTTTGGGGGAGGGGGTGCGTTTGGGGGAGGGGGTGCGTTTGGGGGAGGGGGTGCGTTTGGGGGAGGGGGTGCGTTTGGGGGAGGGGGTGCGTTTGGGGGAGGGCGGAGGTTTGGGGGAGGGAGGCCGTATGCGGGAGGACGGAGGGGCGCGGGAGGGTGGGCGGCGAGGGGAGGGTGGCGGGCGTTTGGGGGAGGGTGGAAGTTTTGGGGGGAGTGGACGTTTGGGGGAGGGGGAAAGCTTGGGGGAGGGGGAACGTCTGGGGGAGGGGGAAGGCTTGCGGGAGGGAGGCGGGCGGCGGGAAGAGGGGGGAGGGGAGGTGCCTGGATTGGAAGGGGAATGGGAAGTTGGAGGGAATGGGGAATGAATATGGGAGAACAAAGGAAGAGAAATGCAGTCAAGGTGAGGTGAGGGAGGAGCAGGAAAGCAATGGGACTTGCAAAAATCGTTGGCAGTTACTCCGAAGAAATGCACACATGATGTGATGTATCACCCGAATCATCATCACCATCTTACCCCGTCTAGGTGGCTGCTTAGGCCTTGTGCTCCCACCACCTTTGCCTTTTCCGCTTCCACTTCCGCCGCTATCCCAGCTCCCATCATCAATAGGTGTTGCCTCCCACCCCCCGTTGTCATCCCCATACCCGTCATCATACCCCCCATCATTTCCCCCATTCCCTCCCCCTTTCCCTCCCCCTTTCCCTCCCCCTTTTCCTCCCCCTTTCCCTCCCCCATTCCCGCCCCCTTTTCCTCCCGCTTTGCCTCCCGCCTTTCCTCCCTTTTTCCCACTAACCCCCAGTTTACTCCTTTCCCCCAATTTCCTTGTACTTTCCCCCACCGCCCCTCCCCCCGCCTTCCCCCCTCCCCCTTCCGCCAACTGCTGGTGGTTTGAGGGGGAGGGGGAAGAGGGCAGGCGCAGAAGGTTGGGGGAAGAGCCGCTGATCTGGGGAGGTTGGGGGCGTTGGGGTAAATGGGGGGTAGAGGAGGAGGAGGAGGAGGAGGAGGAGGAGGAGGAGGAGGAGGAGGAGGAGGAGGAGGAGGAGGAGGAGGAGGAGGAGGAGGAGGAGAAGTGTGATAGAGGGTGGGGCACGGGTACGGGCCACCTCATTAGGTTCGGTGAAGCTTGTAGAATTGGTGCGTTGGGTAGGTTCGATCGGTTTAATATATTTGTCTTGGTAAGGATGCACGCAGCCGAGGAGTTGTGTCGAAAAGGGGACTGTAACGAGCAATGAGTGTTAGGCGGGCACAACGTTAATGCGCAGGGGACTGCTCACGAGAAGTAAGGGAGAAAAGCAGGGGGGAGGAGGGAAGGGGGGCAGGAGGGGTTTGAGGGGGGGAACGGGAGGAAAGAGGAGAGATGAGAGGAGGAACCAGGAGTGGAATAATCTCAATCCCACCCCACGGATGTGAGAGAGTTTGTTTGTTTGATTGCAGCTAAATGGACTGATTTCGCCTGTTTCAAAAAAGAAATCTCAAGCAAAGAATTAACAAAAACAGGATTAAAAAAACAACATATGTAGTGCACTTTTGGCCGTTACCTCTGCACTGACGGCCGTTACCTCTGCACTGACGGCCGTTACCTCTGCAGTGATGGCCGTTACCTCTGCACTGACGGCCGTCAGTGACGAACGGCGGGTTGCAGGCGCAGTGAGGCCTGTGCTTGCGCACCTCGCACACGCGGTTTACAGGGCAGGCGCGCACACGGCAGGGGTCTGCGGAAGGAGATGGGGCGGGGAGAGAGACGGGGGGAGAGACAGGGTTGGGGATGGACGAGAGATGGGGGAGGCGAGGAAGAGTGTGGCACGGGACCATTGCTAGTAGTTGCTACTATGATAGTAGCAACTACTAGCAACTGCTAGCAACTACCAGTACTGTTTTTCACTGCATCTGCAATGTAAACCCGTGGCACTACCTCGACTGCTTTCGAAGTGCCATAATAGTCGACGCAACTCCGTAGTGTTATCTCGACTGCTCGGAGGCGCCGCGGAGTCGGAACGCGTCGCAGGCGCCGCGACACGCTGGAAGAGCGCGAACGCCAGTAGCGCCACGCGCAGGAAGGATGGAGAGGATTGAAGAAACGGCCTGGACGGCCGGGATGGCAGACATAAGCGCCGCACCGTGCGGCGCGTGCCGCGGCGAGGGCAGCGAGCTGACATCAGCACTCATTAGTTGCCGCGGTGCGCCGGCCGTCTGCACGGGCGGGATGTTTAGAAAAAATTTCGCGAACGACCGCCTGCAAAGGCAGGCGAATGCGAGCTGGCGTCAACGAAAACGCGCTGCGGAGAGTACGTGCTGCGAACGGTCTCGTAATATTATGATGTCTTTAAATAGGAGAGGCTACTCGGCCTTAATAGAAATCTCCTCTACGACTCGAAGAGTATTCTACTAGTCAAGCTACTACTAGAGTTACTAATGACCGACGCGGGTCCATTCAGGGTGTGGCTGATGGCTGACAGTGGTATTGGTGCGACGCGGACGGAGTAACTATTAACGAGCGTTGCGTGCGCGGAGTTTCTGGAATTTACCAACAGCAAGCGACGCCGCGTAACGCGCGGTGCCACGACCCGTATCGGCGTGTGACGCTACTGGTAGGCAGATATGGGGCGCTATGCGAAACGTACAACCTAACTACATGTTCTCTGTGTGCGTCCGCTCTTCGATCGAAGAACCGTACGATGCACCCCGTGCAACGAGGAGGAAGGGTGGTGTTGTGCGTTCGGTGGCTTGAGAATACAATTTCTCCACCACATTGCACCATATCATATCCATCTTCAACGTCTTGCAATATTTTTAGCCCATCTGTATTTCCAACCTGTGGAACAGTTTCGATGGGCTGGGTAACTGACAAAACCGAATCGCCACCTGAGGAGTACAGTAGAGTGGAGAGTTTTGCTCAATCTCACGGAGTTGCGGTTTGTTTTATTATCGCCACGTGGCATGCCTTCGATCGCGTGAACCGCGATCTGTTTTATTGTTATCACAAACCTCAAGAGAAAATTAGTTCAGTTCTGTACTGCGCTGCCCGGGGGCAAAAATAAAACCCATTTGGGCCTGGCATGCGTTAGGGAGGCATCAACCCTAAACACCTTGCCTCTAGGTGTTTAGGGTTGGTGCATCCCTAACGCATGCCTTATCTATAGGGGTTTTATTTTTGCCCGCGGGCAGCATAATCCAGAACTTAACTAAAATTCGCTTGAAGGTTGTGATAACAATAAAACAGATCGCGGTTCACGCGATCATAGGCTCGCCACGTGGCAAAAATAAACCAAACCGCGCTTCCGCGGGATTGAGCAAAATTCTCAGTAGAGTGCCGCACGGCAGGCACATACACTGTACTGTACAGTGTATCACACGAAGCCGTACGCCATCTAATCATCAGACCCTCCTTGCCCCTCCCTCCCCCAAGTGCCCCACCCCACCCATTTCATTGCCCCACCCACACCCACTCCTATCCTCTTCCCCAACCCCCTCCCCCTCCCTTCCTCTCCCTCCTCCCCCACCATCCAGGGAAAATATCATCACACGATGCAAATCAAGCAGAACCTGCCGCTTTGGTAATGTTCATGCCGTGACGCGGCGGCTGCAAAGTTGGCGGGAAAACCTCGTCGCCACCTCCGCCTTTGAAAATGGTTACAGCTACACTTCATGAATACTAACGTGCGAAAGAAACTAAATTAAAAGGCGCCTCAGTGAAAGCATCCCAATATAGGCGTTATAACGTAGTATCTAGATTCATTGCTTGGAAACCCAATCCCAAACTGACTGGAAAAAAAGGACTTCCCGCCAAGTGTCTCCGCACCTGGGGATTGTGGAATCAAACTGCCTGACTCGTCATATACCAGGCCAACACGCCACTATTCTCTCATATCCCACCCACACATGACGCAACCACACCACGCGTATTTCTAATATATTTTCTGAAACTTTCCGCGCAATCTAGAGCATTAGAGCACGTGCCATGGCGACTTAGCGGCACCGTCGCACAGCTGTTTTGTGCCAGAGTGGTGCATGGGAAAATATCACGCGAAGTCGCAGGCACCGGGAGGACAGCTACTGCTCGAAACTCCATGACGGCTATTGGTGACGACACTGCGCAACCCAGCTGGTGACAACGCGGCGAATAGCGAGGGGGTGCAAAGGAGTTGGATTTGGTGCGAGGAAAACCGGGACGGTTCGAGGCGGAAGTGTTTTTAGCCTGTCAAACCTAGCGTGTAGAAAGGGTCTGGCCCAGAGAAAACAGTTTAAACTGGCGTGCGCGAAACGCGCGAGCGTATAACGAGGGTGACTGTAGGGCAAGTAAGCAGCACTCAGCGGCAGCAGAAGTAGTAGCACCAGCTGCGGCGGCGGCAGCGGCAGCGATTGGACTACAATCTGCGACCGGAGGGGAAGGCGGAAGAAGGGGAAAGGCTCGAGCCGCGAGCGCGCTGGCGAAGATGGCACCTTACAGAAGAGTGATTGAATGCACGGCTTATTGCAGGTGATTCTTTGTAACCGCTGAGTCGACTTCGAAGATGGCGCTTTGTAGACGAGTCATCAAATGCACGGCTTATTGCAGGTGACGCCCTGTGATTGTACCGAGTTGGTGCCTGGGGGTAATCACAGGGTCAGAAGGGTGATAGTAACGAGGTGCCGGTGTTGAAACACGGAGACATCGTATTTTCGACATGGCGTGTTTACTCTTTAGACCCGAAAGGGCTGTCTTCGGTTATAACTTGCAATTTCAACTCGACTAGAAAAGACCTGTCGGGTGGTTATAACATGTGGTGTGTGCGGTTGATGGGCTTTACAAAAATGACATGACATGGTGTGTACGGGCTTACTTAATTATGCGCGGCATGAAATTCCTCGGATGGTCGTGGCATCTCATTGCATTCATTCGCGTAGCGTGGCATGGGATGGCCGCTTTTCCACTTTGCCTTTCTTCCCCTCCTGGCCGTTTTCCCTCCCTTCTCCTAACCACACTGGACCTATTGCTCCCCGTCGACCCTCATTTCCCCCTCTCTCTCCCCTCGTCGCCCCTCCCTGCCCTGCCATCAGCTGCGGGTACTGCTGCAAGTGGGAGTGGGGGTTGAAGCTTCCCGGGTCCTTCTACGTGGGGGTGGTCCCCGGGTGGATGCCCCTGCGCCTCAGGCGGCGCAAGAAGGGGTGGGTCGACTCGCCCATTCCGCTCTTTGCCAAGTGAGTAGGGGGAGCGGACGGGGGAAAGGGGAGGGGGGAGGGAGGGAGGGAGGGGGGTTGGATGGGTTGAGGGGAGGGAGAGAAGTAGGGAGGGAGGGAGAGAGGGAGGGAAGAGGGGACAAACGGGACATAAGAACGTACGAGTGTCCGCTGCGCACTTTGCCCGTCCCACCCCTCCGCCCCGTCACCCCAGTTACTGAGCGACACAACTCTGAAGGGTGGATTCTGAGGGGGTTTTTTCAGTCGCCTGTGCGTGTCTGTGTCTGATGACTCACCACTCTCCCACTCTCCCCCCCTTTCGTCCCTCTGCTCCATCACCCAAGATACTGGACCGATACAACTCTCAAGGGAGGATTATTCGCCTGTGCGCGTCTGATGTCCGATACAACTCTCAAGGGGATTATTCTCCCCTCCCCCCTCCACCCGTCCGCTCCATCACGATTCACCCAGATACTGGACCGATACAACTCTCAAAGGAGGTCCCTACCATGGCTTTACTGCAAATGGCAGATACCCCGCTCAGGTGGGTATTTTATTTTACTGCAAATGGCAGATACCCTGCTCAGGTGGGTATTTTATTTTACTGCAAATAGCAGATACGCCGCTCAGGTGGGTATTTTATTTTACTGCAAATGGCAGATACCCCGCTCAGGTGGGTTTTTTATTTTACTGCAAATGGCAGATACCCCGCTCAGGTGGGTATTTTATTTTACTGCAAATGGCAGATACCCCGCTCAGGTGGGTATTTTATTTTACTGCAAATGACAGATACCCCGCTCAGGTGGGTTTTTTATTTTACTGCAAATGGCAGATACCCCGCTCAGGTGGGTATTTTATTTTACTGCAAATGGCAGATACCCCGCTCAGGTGGGTTTTTTATTTTACTGCAAATGGCAGATACCCCGCTCAGGTGGGTATTTTATTTTACTGCAAATGGCAGATACCCCGCTCAGGTGGGTATTTTATTTTACTGCAAATGGCAGATACCCCGCTCAGGTGGGTATGTGGAGAGAAAATCTTTGTGTTAATCATTCTGCTTCCGCAATCCCTACCCAGTTTCCACTCTCCTGACGTCTGCTTCTGAGACGCCTCTACAGTCATTGTCATTCCTACAAGCTTTACCCCCATCCTCTTCCCCCCCCACCCCCTTCCTCTCGCCTGTGCAGTCTCGCGCTCCCATCCTCGCGCCCCTCTTCCTTTCTCAGTTCCAGAGAATTGCAGGGTGCCTGCGTTTGAGGCGCCTCTGAAACCAGCTTTTTAGAATACTCGAAATTGCCATTGCAAGTCCATCCCCCATCCGCTCCCCCATCCCCTCCCTCTCCCCATTCCAGTCCCGCCTGCCCATCCTCTCACCACTCTCCCTCTCTCAGTTCCTGAAGATTCCTGGGCAGTTGCTGCTCTTCCCCTGGACCCTCAGAAACTAAGTTGTTTTTATAATTCAACCCCCCATCCGCTCCCCCATCCCCTCCCTCTCCCCCTTCCAGTCCCGCCCGCCCATCCTCTCACCGCTCTCCCTCTCTCAGTTCCAGAAGATTCCAGGGCGGCTGCTGCTGTTCCCCTGGCGCCTGCTGCCCCGGCACGGCACCATTGCAGCAGACACGGCGCACTACCCCTTCGGCACCCAGATGTTCATCCCGGGATATGGATGGGGCATTGTGAGTGGGTGGAAGGAGGGGTTAGCGAGGATCAGAGGAGAAGCAAGACGGAGGGAAGTGGGTGAGTGGGGGAGTATGAGAGATGTGGGTGGACCGTGGAAGGAGGGATGGGTTTGAAGGATCATGTTCTGTCGTGGGGTTATGCAGGTGCTGCCTGGATGCGTGGTGCATGGTTCTGGTCCCTGCTGCCCCGGCACGGCACCATTGCAGCAGACACGGCGCACTACCCGTTTGGCACCCAAATGTTCATCCCGGGATATGGATGGGGCATTGTGAGTGAGGGGGGGGGGGGGGTTTGAGAGAGGGGACGTGTGGGGGCAGGAGGTTTGAGAGAGAGGGAGGTGTGCAAGCAGGGGCGCGTGCAAGCTGGGAGGTGTGCAAGCAGGGGCGCGTGCAAGCTGGGAGGTGTACGCGCAGGTCATTCCGGGATATGCTTTTTGTGTGGTTTGGAATAGTTGTGGGAATAGGTTGGCTGGGTTTGAGGAGGTGGAGGGAGTGGGGCGCAGAGTGCTTGTAACAGAGGGAGGAGAGCAGGCTACAGGGTTGGTATTTGGCATGGCATGTCACGTGCACCGTGTCGCATCGTCTTCTCATGTTTTGTCATCTTATCGTTTCCGGTCCGTGTCTGTTGTCGTGTCTTGTCCTGCCATGCCTTGTCGTCCTCCCGTTTCTTGCCGTCTTGTCTTGTGTGCTCTTATTCTCCTTTTGTCTTCTCTTGAACTGTCGTCGCTTCTCTCTGTGCCGTGTATCTGCACGTGCATGGATACACTGGCAGGTGGACGACAAGGGGTCAGCCATTCGATTGTTTAGGTGCCTCAAAAATGTCGTCTCCTCTCTCTGTGTCGTGTTATGTGTCTGCACATGTTTGGATACACTGGCAGGTGGACGACAAGGGGTCAGCCATTCGGGGAGCCACGCGCATAGACCTCTACCACTACTCACACAACGAGGCCCTACACTGGGGTAGACGGCGAGTCAACGTGAGCTCACTCTGCTCTCCACTTTCGTTCCCTGCCCTTCCCTTCGCTTCCCTTCCCTTCCCTTCCCTTCCCTTCCCTTCCCTTCCCTTCCCTTCCCCTCCCTTCCCTTCCCTTCCCTTCCCTTCCCTTCCCTTCCCTTCCCTACCCTTCCCTTCCCCTCCCCTCCCCTCCCCTCCCCACCCCTCCCTTCCCCTCCCCTCCCCTCCCCTCCCCTCCCCTCCCCTCCCCACCCCTCCCTTCCCCTCCCCTCCCCTCCCCTCCCCTTCTCTTCCTTTTCCTCCATTCCCTTCCCTTCTGGTTTAATAGCTCCTCTCTCTCCTCACCCCACCTTCCATCTTCCCCCCCCTGTCTCCCACCTATCGCGTACCTTTTAGGTGCTGGTGGTGCCTCCAGGAGAAAGTGTGGTAGATCTCTTACATGTGCCAAAGCCATTTAAGTTTCTTCTCAAGGGTCTAAATTGGGCAAGGAAACTTCTGGTTTAGGCTACAGCCAAAGGTGTGTATGTAGCTGATATACGATTTTTGTCTTGGACTTAGCAAAGCCTCTGATGTAGTGTAGGCAGGGTACTAGAATAGAGCCATTCAAGTGGGGCACTTGGTCAACTAAGGTAGTTATCCTTTGTTGTTTGCATCTGTATCGTACTTCACTAGACGCTCTATTGGTCAGTCATGTACTTACACTGTACGACCTGTCATCAGCACTAAATTGTGCTGTGAACACATCTTATGACTCTTAAAACCAGGCCCCACGTTATCAGGGCAAAACATCCTGATTACCCTGAATTCAGGATGCAGTTTTGAGTTTACCCTGTCATTTCAGAATAGTGTAAATTTTTACCCTGAGGTCTCAGGATGTTGTTATATGAAATGCCCTGAACATTCAGAATGGCTGTAGTGTTCTTCCCTGTAGCGTCAGGATGAATGCAGAGGCCTGCCCTGACGCGTTTTTTGTTGGGGGGGTGGGGGAGTCCCGTACCTGGGGAAATTTTCCCTGGGGATTTTTGTCTCCGTACGCAAAACCACTTCAAAACACTTATCCATCCAACCATCCAGAAGTGGCCTAGTCAGTAGAAAGATACTATCGATTGATAAGGTCCTGGGGTCGAACCCACCTCGATCACAACTTTAACTCTGTCAACCAACCAATCTGAACCCTGAACACAGAGGTTTTTGCCCTGACAGGTCAGGATTGATTTCTGAAAAAGCCCTGAACATACAGGAAGGCTTCGAAAATTTGCCCTGACAAATCAGGGCATTTTTTACGATTCCGGAAAGGTGCCCTGAGGCCTCAGGGTGCCCCAAATCCTAGCACGGGCCCTGCTTAAAACCACCTTTCTCTGATTTGGCACGATGGTCTCACTACCATCAAATCGCTCAGGCGGTGTATGGGAGCGTGGTTTACTATCGAGTTGAAGGCCCGTCCCATATCGGTTACTGAACGTGCCGACCAGAGAGGTTGGGCATCAGAGCCGTTGACGCAACCCGTTCTCCACCCGCCCTGTGAGGGTCAACCAATGATGCCAGAAGTTTCGCGAACACAAACGAAGCGCCAGCTTTCCCTCGTAGATCTCGAAGTATCCGTAGGTAACCCCTCGCAGACTGTCCACATCATCGTCCTGGAGGGCCGTCGTTGTTCCGCCGAACCATCACTCGCTTGGAAATCACTTTTCGCAAAACCGTTTCCGCTAACACGCTCTCTTCGCAAAGTCGCATCACGAATTCGTTGAACGAGTTACGACACGCCCTTGTGCAAATGCGAAGCTCTGACAACCACTTCAGCCCACCTTTCGATTCATCAATCTCGAGATTGCACCGCACGCTACTCCTGTGCCGAATCCCGCCGATCCAACCCACCAAGCACCTGCACGGACTTCCTTCGCTCGAGTTGTTTTCTTCCCCGCCTTTTTGGGACTGAACATAAGTTCTTGATTTGCCAGCCAGGTCGCTGATTTTCGCGAATCCGTTTGCCTTACGTGCGTTTGCGAGTCCATCGATCCGTCACTGGATCGTCGCTCGATCGTAAGCCGTGTGCCCTGTGTCTTGGAGGATACATCTGAATTAAGTTAGTGAATCAGCTGCGGAACTCCGTTCTTTGCGATTTCTCTGAAGTCGCACGGAGCCCTACGCGAACCCAAGTTCTTAATAATCTCTTGCCAAACCTTTACGATTTAACAGGGTTCCTAGGTCTCGGGACTCCTCGATCGCGTTACGACTGACGCCGTCCGCACGTCACGTCGATCACGACGCTTGGCGGCCATGGCTATGCCTCAGGGCTCTGTGACCCTATCCGACGTCTACGCCGCAGCGCAGCGCGGGCGGCTCGAGCTCTCCTCCGGTATAGAGCTACTCGAACGTTGCGAGTCGGGAGCAGGCGGCCCGCTGGCGGCGCCAATGTTCTTCACCGAGGCGCCGCGCGATCCGAGCGGCGCCGGAGGCAGCGCAAGCGCAGCGGGGCCGGCGGGAGCGGTGGCGGTGGATCCCGCGCTGATGGACGGGCTGCGCGTGAAGCTGGCGGAACTGCAGCGCATGTGCGCGGATATGGGGCAGCTTTGGCGCAACCACGCGAACAAGACGCAACGGGAGCTATGGCGGAGGTAATTTCTGGGGACTGCAGTTAGGAGCATGGGTACGAGTTATCCTTCATGACAAAGTTGTCTAGAAGGTAGCTCATGGGATGGATTTACCCTTCGCTTCGCCTGCCTCTCTTCTCTCTTCTCTCCTCTCCTCTCTCCTCTCCTTTCGTCCCCCCTTCTCTTCTCCCCTTCTCTTCCCCCATTTCTTCCCAACCTCCCTTCCCAACTTCTCTCCCCCCTTCTCTTCCCCCTTGTTCCCCCTAACTCTTCCCCCTTGTTCCCCCTAACTCTTCCCCCTTGTTCCCCCTAACTCTTCCCCCTTGTTCCCCCTAACTCTTCCCCCCTTCCGTTCCCCATCTCTGCTGTACGGTTGACTTTATACTCATTCTTTCATTCTTCTCCCCTCCGCCCTGACCCCAATCCCCCCGTATCCCCCCCCCCCCTCCCCCCACCTTGAACTCCCAGGCGAGTGGAGGTGATGGGGGAGGAGGCGGAGGCGCTACGGCTGGCGCTAGACCGGTGCGCAGCGAAGGAGCACAGGCGGCGCAGGGAGGCGCAGGAGCGGGCGGAGCTGCTGGTGGCGCGCGCGGGGGGGCAGGGGGGGCGCATCCTGAGCGAGGCGGACGCGGAGATTAGAGACATGGAGACGGCTAAGAGGGCGGGGCGCGTGCTAGAGGACACGTTGGCGCAGGGGATTGCCACGCTGTCACACATGGCGCAGCAGAGGGAGGTTCTCAAGGTGAGAGTGGTTCAACTGGGTTGGGGTCGGTGGGGATGGGTTACGGGAGGTCTCGGGGGGAGGTGGAGGAGGTGAGGGTAGGGGCCCATGTGTGCTTGGGGACACGTTCGCGCAGGGTATTGCTGCGCTGTCACGTGGGGGGGGGGACAACAGGAGGGGAGGAGGGGGGGGGGCGGGCACGTGCAGGAGGATACGTTGGCGCAGGGGATTGCGACGCTGTCACACATGGCGCAGCAGAGGGAGTTGTTGAAGGTGAGAACGGTTCGACTGGGTTAGGGATGGTGGCAGTGGGGTGGCGGGGAAGGGAGGGGTGGGAGGGGTTGGGGAGGTGAGAGAAGAACCGTGTGCTTGACGATTTGTAGGGGATTCCACGCTTTCACTCATGGTACAGCAGGGGAAGGTGTTTAGGGTGAAAGTGGCTTCAATGGGTTAGGGTTGGTGCTCTGGGGTGTGGAGGGGAGGGGTTGGGAGGGTTGGAGAGGTGGGAGAAGGGCCGTGCGAGTGCTTGATGAAACGTTGTTGAGGGGATTGCGACTCTTTCACAACAGACGCTTTATAGGGAGGCACACTGAATGAGTTGTGTGGGTGGGGGGAGAAAAGGGAGTGGGGATTTGCCAGGATTGGAGGGATTGGAGGGAAATGACAGGAGTATGTAGATCGCCTCATTCCAGCGAACCTGAGCCTGATTTCGGGCAGAGTGCTGCCATCCAAGTGCAGTCCAGATGCCGCCCAGATGCCGCCCAGATGCAGTCTAGATGTCGTTTTGAATCCGTCCGGATGCTTTGAAGCACCCTCGGTTGTGACCGCTTCCCTTCCCGCTCCCCGCTCTGGACATGCTTGATTCTGTGGGTCTGTCAGATGCTCTATTACTATTGTAAACCACACTCAACCCAAACTGCAAGGCCCATCCCAATCCTCTCCCCCCTCTTCCCCCGGTCCCCGGGTCCCATCCCCTGTACACAGTCGGCCCAGCGTTTTGAGGCGCCTCAAAATCCGCGTGTAGGGAGGTGCGTTTTGAGGCGCCTCAAAATGCACCCCGGGTCCCATCCCCTGTACACAGTCGGCCCAGCGGCGAGCTGTAGATATGCTCAACCCCGGGGGCTGTCAAAAGTGGTGCTGATACTCCAAATCGCGTTTGTTTCTAAGTGTTTTTATTCCCACTCTCTCCGCGCCTTCATTCTTCCACCTTTCCCCCCTCCCTCCCCTCCTCACAGTCCGCCCAGCGGCGAGCGCTAGACATGCTGAACTACGTGGGTCTGTCAGACGCAGCACAAAGCCCCCTCTTGATTCTCTTCCTCTCCCCAACCCCTCATCCCCCATTGCCCTCACAGTCCGCCCAGCGGCGAGCGCTGGACATGCTGAACTACGTGGGTCTGTCAGACGCAGTGCTGAAGAAGATCAACCGGCGGCAGCTGGTGGACAGGGCCATCAGCTACGGCGGCATGCTGCTCACCCTCATTGTCATCTTCATCGTCTGGCGCTGGACGCGCTGATAGTAGTTCGTGCATCTGCTGCTCGTGTTGCCAAGGGCTGCTGCTAGGTTTGCTGGTTGTGGGACCCAGGGGATGGCTGGTGTGGCAGCTGGTGGATAGATGGCGGCATGCTGCTCACCCTCATTGTCATCTTCATCGTCTGGCGCTGGACGCGCTGATAGGGCTTCTAGGGATGTGCATGCTGCCATTGGTGGTTGCTGCTAGGGAAGTTTGCTGGTTGTGGAGGCCTGGGGATGGCTTGTGAGGCAGCTGGTGGACAGGGCCATCAGCCACGGCAGAATGCTTCTGACGCTCATCGCCATCTTCATTGTCTGGCGCTGGACGCGCTGATTGTAGCTCGCTCTTCGCTTCTGCTCCTCCTGCTGTCTCTTCATGCTGCTCACCCTCATTGTCACCTTCATCGTCTGGCGCTGGACGCGCTGATAGCGTTTCTGCTGCTCCTGCTCCAATCGTGGCTGCTGCTAGGGTTGCTAGGGATGCGCATGCTGCCAACGATGAATGCCGCTAGGGTTGCTGGTTGTGGAGCCCTGGAGGTTGCTGTTGTGGCAGCTGGTGGACAGGGCCATCAGCTACGGCGGCATGCCGCTCACCCTCATGCCTGTGCCGCTCCTGCTGCTTGTGCTGCTGATGCCGTTGATGCTGGGAATGCTGCTGGCTGACAGCCATTGTCATTTTAGTAGTATGGCGCGTGGATGGATAGGCTGTTTGATGGCCCTGGTGATGCTCATCTAGTGGTGCTTGTACAGCCAATAGGTGTATGGGTGTTGTGAGTGCCATCATGATGATACGGCTGTCTCTGCTGAGGGATATGGCTCGAGTTTAAGCTACGGTAGGTGATACCGGGTATGAGAGCGAATGGTGGCGAGAGCTTGAGAGGGGTAAGTGTGGGGGGAGGGGAGACTTTCTTGAGGACGGTAGTGAAGGTTGCAGGATTTTTTTGACTCGACTAGACGTAATTTGTGTGTATGTAGGCAGGCAGATAATATACATACCGTATGTGGGATGCTGCTCACATGTTCGTCGATCCGCCAAATTAGTTGTCTAGCATGTTGTAAAATAGGTAGGTACCGCTACTTCTTGTGGTGGCATGACCTGTGGTACAGTATAGTGTTGCACTGTTACGGTACTACTTTATATGAATGTACCAGATGTTCTCCATGTTACTGTTCCCAATTGCATTTTTTTTTTTTACCCACTCTGCTCTTCCAGGGATCAACGAGTCTAAGATTACAGTTAGTGTTACGGGTGCAATGAATCGAAGTAGCGAGAATTGCACTAAGGTGTCAAAACGAGTACCAAATGTGAGCGAAGGCATGAGCGAACATTTATACGCGAAACATGCAAACGGTAACGCGGTGCGTGCGAGCTAGCTAGTGCTAAGCTGGAAACGAGGCTCGGGCTAGTCCCGAAGCGTAGGCCGACACGGCCAGGCCAGCAGTGCGAGGTTTGGTGAAACAGTGCGCGCGAAGTCGGCGAAGCCCCGTTAGCAGTAACGGGCGAACAACGGCTGTTGTTGTACGCGATGTAGTCGGGCTCCGTAAGGAATGCTGAGAAAATTCGTTACACTACCCCCCCCCTTCAAGAAGCCCCCTCCGCTACGCGAGTGCGTGTAAATCGCGGAATCCCCGACTCCTCAGGTACACTTGCAGGGCAGGGTGGTTTTCGATGTTGGCCAGGGGCACCCAGCTGTCCTCAGTTGGCGTGCGATCCTTCCAGCGAACGAGGAATTCAATCCTCTTGATTCCCGTGGGGTGTCGAATCCGATGGCTCAGGATTTTTTCAGGCGCGATGATCGGCTCCGATGCAGGGCGAGTCATGGATGGCGGGCGGTGGCGAGGCAGTTGGCTTGTGGTTGGGATGTAGGGGCGAAGCAAGCTGACGTGGAACGAAGGGCTGATGTAGCAGTCGGTCGGTAACAGTAGGTGCGTGGTTACTGGCGTGATCAAGTGGCTGATTTGGAATGGGCCACAGTAGCGCGGTCGAAGTTTTGGTACGTCGGGCAGTCGCAGATTTTGCGTGTCGAGCAGTACGTAATCCCCTGACTGGTATGTGACTGGGCGGCGGTGGCGGTCAGCGTTGCGCTTAGCGATGACGTTTGCTTTTTTAATTGCTTCTGCGGCTCTGGTGCGGGCAGCTTGCAGAATTTCGGCAAATTGCTGTGCACGTGGTGTTGGGTTGTCCGGACTCGGCGTCATGGGCACTGTAGGGTTTTGCCCGTAGTTCAGATAGAAGGGGGACTGCTGCGTCGTCGCTGACGTGGCATTATTGTACGCGAACTCGATCAGCGGCAGCTGCTGCTCCCAGGTCGTGGGGTCGTCGCATGTGGCAGGAATCAACTGCTCCATCGTCTGAGTCGTCCGCTCCGTTTGACCGTCGGTCTCGGGGTGGTACGACGAACTGAACTGTAGCCTGGTCCCGAACTGCTCCCAGAGGTTCTTCCAGAAGTTGCTGGTGAACTTCGTGTCCCTGTCGCTGCTAATTGCTGCTGGTATCCCGTGCAGGCGAACAACGGCTGCGATGAACAGACGAGCGGTTTCCTCGGCTGAGATCGACTTTTTGCACGCAGCGAAGTGTGCCATCTTCGTCAACCTGTCAACGACGACCATCACCGCGTCGTTACCCCCAGGGTTCGAAGGTAACCCTGTGACGAAGTCCATGGTGACCTGCTGCCAGGCGCGCTCGGGCGGTGGTATCGGCTGCAATTGACCCGCCTTCCGCTTCCTCGAGCTCTTCATCACCTGACACGTGGGGCACGAGCCCACGTGCTGCTGCACGTCGGTCAACAGCTCCGGCCAGTAGTAATACCGCTGCAGTTGCTGTCGCGTTTTTTCTACCCCAAAATGTCCCGATGTAATTCCGTCGTGTGAGTACGCGGGTACCCAGATGCGGTTGGTGCCTGTTTTTACGTAATAAACTCCTTTAGCTTCTGCCAGTTGCTGTGAGTTTCCAGTCGTGAAAAATGGGTCGGTGCGGTATCCGTGGGTGAATAGGCCTGTTAAAAGCGGGTTGGTCTGGGCGAGTAGGATGGCGTGGAGTTGGGCGGTAGGGCGGGTGAGTGCGTCGGCGATGTTGGATGCGCCTTTCTTGTACGTAACCGTCTAGTGGAAGTTGGACTCGAGGTAGTCCAACCAACGAATCTGTCGTGGATTGAGATTCGGTTGGGCGCGTAAGTACTGTAGTGATCAGTGGTCTGTCCGTACTGTCACGTCGACGCCAGTCAGGTAACACCGCCAAACCTTGAACGCGTGCACGATCGCCAACATTTCGCGGTCGTGTATCGGGTAGTTGCGTTCGGGCGGGTGCGGCTTGCGGGACTCATACGCGATTGGTTGGAGGCCGTTCCCGAAATCCTGCAACAGTACTGCTCCCACAGCGATGTCACTTGCGTCAGTGACGAGCTCGAACGGACGGTGTGGGTCTGCGATGTGCAGCACGGGCGGTGAGCACAAAATATTTTTGAGGGCCGAGAAGGCAGCTTGCTCTTTCTCCCCCCACGTGTACTCAACCCCCTTCCTCAGCAGGTCTGTCAGCGGGGCAGTCAGCTTCGCCATGTCGGGGACGAACCGGCGCACGTAGTTGACGAACCCCAAAAAACTCTGCAACTCGGTCAAGTTGGTCGGCGCTTGCCATGCTTGAATCGTCGCGATTTTCTTCGGGTCTATTTCCACTCCTGTAGCTGAAATAACGTGTCCCAAAAACCCCAGGCGGTCCTGTAAAAACTCACACTTAGATGCTTTTGTCAGTAGGCGGTTCTCACTCAGTATTTTAAAAACTGCTTCGATGTCCTGTAGGTGCTGTGCTCTGTCAGGGCTGTAAATCAGTATGTCGTCCAGGTAGACTATGACGCACTTATCTAAGAGCGGGCAGAAAGCCTCGTTCATGGTCATTTGGAAAGTGGCGGGGGCGTTGGTCAGTCCGAAGGGCATGACGGTGTATTCGAAGGATCCGTAGCGTGTGCGAAATGCGGTCTTAGGGCAGTCGGGCGGGTTGACGCGAATCTGGTGGTAACCCCCTCGAAGGTCGATTTTCGAGAAAACCCGGGCTGTGCGCAGTTGGTCGATCAGTTCGTCGGCTCGCGGGATGGGGTAACGGGATTTGATGGTAACCCTGTTCAGTGCTCTGTAGTCTATGCACATGCGAAATCCCCCGTCTTTTTTCGGTGTGAACAGTATCGGTGCTGCGAAAGGCGACGAACTAGGGCGAATGAACTCCTTCTCGAGAAGGTAATCGAGCTGCTTCCTCAGTTCGTCCAGTTCGGGCTGGGTCAATCGGAACTGTCGCTGTACTGTTGGCTGTGCCCCTGGTTCTAACTCTATCTTGTGGTCGTGCGGTCGTTGAGGTGGCAGTCCCGTCGGTAAATCGTCCGGGAAAATGTCGCTGTACTGCTTCAACAGTGCTGCCAGGTCACTTGGTACGTCGGCCAGCAGTTTCTGTAAATCCCCTCCTTTGTCTGCTGCCTCGGCTTCCCGAATGTCGACCGCGTACACTTCAGCTCCTGCCGCTACGGCGCGTTTCATCGTGATCGCGTTGACACGCACCGACGAAGACTCAGACGAGCCCCAGCGAGGTAGGGCGATGTTGTTACCGTTCACTCGCCCGGTGCAGTCACCCGTCGTCCAGTCGATTCGCGGGTTGTGTCGTCGCAGCCAATCACGCCCGAGTAAAATATCGGTTCCGTCGAGGGTCGTTGCGAGCATTTCCTGGCTAAACGTGAAGTTACCCCCACATCGAATCCGAACCCGGTCTACGCGTTCCCGTATTGCCAGCGGCGTGCCGTCTACCAATCTTGCGTCGATCTCAGGTAAACATCTGTCCAGTGGCAGTCGCAGTTTTCGTGCTGTAGCAGTGTTGATGAGGCTGTGGCTAGCTCCCCCGTCTACGAAGATTTTAACTAAGTCCGTCCCGATTTTCCCACTAAGCAGTATGGGGCTGTCTACCGTAGTCCCCTCCTTATTCGGCCGAGTGTGGTCGATTGCGTGAACCGGCACAATCACTCGGTGAGGGTCGGTTGGGTCGGGCGAGCGGCGTGACCTGTCAGTAGAGGGCCCGTCTGCTACTGACTCTCAGCGTTTCCCTGCTGCTTGGTCTGTTTCTGCTGCTCAGCTTCCCCCTTTCCCTTAGCGTTTTCCGGGCATTCGCTCTTGCGATGTCCCGGCCGATTGCACGCAAAGCAGCGCCCTTTGAACGGTGCGGCAGCGGCATTTGCGGCGACGGCACGTATCGTGGCGCCCTCGTTCGTCCCACGAGGCCGATGTCCCCAATGGCTGCTTCCGTAGGACCCCGGTCTCGGTCGGCGGAAGAAGTCAAGTTTCTCCGCCATAGCGAGAATTTCTTGAAAGTCGGTGATGCCGCGAAGCTGGATTTCCTGAGCGATGTCCTGCTTCAGGCCGCCGATGTAGCGGTCGATGCGCTCGCTCTCGTGCATATATCCCACCTGCTCGCATAGCGCCAGAAATCCGCTCGTGTAATCTTGGACGGAACCGAGTTGGCGCCAAGTGTGGAGCTTCTGTCGCGCCGCGATCGAAGCCGCGATTGGCTCGAAACGAGCGCGCAAACCTGCGCACCACGCGTCCCACGTGCGATACTGGGGCACCTCCACGAAATACGACGGCGCCCAGGGTCCGGTTTGTCCTTCCCGTGTCGGTAGAGTCGCGTAGTCCACCGGCTTCGTGACGATGATGCGCCACCAGTCCATGGCGTGTCCTCGCAGCAACGACACGGCGTAGCGAATCTTCGCCGTATCCTCCGAGACGTAATTCGCGTCGAAGAAGACGTTCAACGTGAAGAGCCACGCCTGAACGGTAGGACCACCCCGCTGACTTGGGTCAAAGCATGGCGGACGCTGCGGCTTTAGCGGCATCGGCGACGGAAGAGTTGATTCGCCGTCCGGCACTGAAATCGTGACTCGAGGCTGCGTCCTGGCCGCATTCGTCGCGTCGGGGTGTGTCGTGCCGTGGTCGTCGTCTCCGTCATGGCGGACGACGCCATCACTTGCGGCGCTCGCGGGTTGCCCCACACTTCCGTGTTGCGATGTCTGTGGTGCGGGCTGAATCGGAGTGCCAGGTGCTTGGGATTGTGCTCGTGTGAGGTCGTTTTGCAGGGACGAGCGTTCTGCCGTCAGCGTCGCAATTTCCTCGGCGCTCTCGCGAATTTGTCGCAGCAGATCGTTCAAGTGCTCCTGCGTGAGAGTCGTGACGTCGATATGTTCAGCCATTTCGAAGGGCGTCGGCTCGTCTTAGTCTAGGCGCAGTCGTGGCTGCACGCGTTTACGAGAGAACGCGAGGACAGCGGCTCCTAGGTGCTAAGGTACGTGAGTCCCTTCGAGTGAAAAATCAAAAGTTGATTTCCTGGGGTGCGGAGATGCGCGGTCCGAAAGGAAAGAGGCTCTGAATACCAAGTGTTACGGGTGCAATGAATCGAAGTAGCGAGAATTGCACTAAGGTGTCAAAACGAGTACCAAATGTGAGCGAAGGCATGAGCGAACATTTATACGCGAAACATGCAAACGGTAACGCGGTGCGTGCGAGCTAGCTAGTGCTACGCTGGAAACGAGGCTCGGGCTAGTCCCGAAGCGTAGGCCGACACGGCCAGGCCAGCAGTGCGAGGTTTGGTGAAACAGTGCGCGCGAAGTAGGCGAAGTCCCGTTAGCAGTAACGGGCGAACAACGGCTGTTGCAGTACGCGATGTAGTCGGGCTCCGTAAGGAATGCCGAGAAAATTCCTTACAGTTACCCAGTCATTACCAATGACCCCACGTCACAAATTTCCCTGCTTTTTTCATACACTGATTCAACTGCCCTCCATTCGATATGTCATTATTTTGTCTCTTGCATGCCAAGCCTAGGGATCACATTAGAGACCCCAAGCGCCAAGTCAAGGCATGGATAGCAGGCGAACAAAGACTGAAACTGCTGACACACGCACTTTCAGGTCCGATGCATCTATGTCATGACCCCCCTCCACCACTCCCCACCGATCCGTCTGCATGGCAACACATACATGCATGGGGATATACGGAGCTCAAAATGAATGGGTGCGCCGGGCCAGATGGGTTTACATATGCATGCATGCATGCATGCGTGCATGAATTGATGGGGGAATGGATCACGGAGAGCTATATCACAACTGCTTTTCACACGCCCACATGCTGTTGAATCAGGAAATGAAGGAGCGATTCAGCATCACGCCAGCCCCCCTGAAAACCCACCTGGAAATCCTCCTCCACGCGAATCACCCTCATGGCTTCATCAATCTTAAGCCCCCTCCCCCCCCCCCCCCCCGCACCACCGCCAGCACCAACACTCAAAGAAGAAGAAAAAAATATTGTGGAAATGACAATAAAGCAAACACCCACCTGGAAATCCTCCTCCACGCGAATCACCCTCATGGCTTCACCCATCTTGAGGCGCCCCTTCGCCACCGCCAGCGCCAGCACCAGCGAGCGTGTGGGGCCTGCCAGGGAATCCACTGCTGCCAGGTGGAAGGCGTCCATTGGCTGCAGCGCGTAGCGCAAGGCCCTCACGGCAGCGTCGGGCTGATCGGGCGGCAGTAAAGAGTAGGAGACGGAAGGGCGGGCGCCGAACTCGGACTCTATCCAGTCCAGGAGAGGGTCCCATGCTGCTGCTTGCAGTTCTGGGGGATCGAAGACGGAGGGAGAGGGGGTGAAGGAGATGAGGAGAGCGACTTGTGAGTCGAAATAGAAGTCATTACGGCAGTAAAAGGTAGGATACGGAGGGGCGTGCGCCGAATTCTATCTCTATCCAGTCCAGGAGAGGGTTCCATGCTGCTGCTTACAGGTCTGGGGGAGCGGGGAGAGAGCGGGAGTAAGGGAAGGGTATGAAGAGGGTGACGCTTTTACGCGACTTTAAAGTCATCGCAGCAGCAGGTTATGGGATATGGAGGGGGGGCTCTGAACTTGGATTCGATTTAGTCTAGAATAAGGGTCCCATGCTGCTGCTTGCAGATCTGGGCGAGCGAGGAGGGAGGGAGAGGAGGGAAAGGGGAAGAAGAGGGTGAGGGAACGGGGAGAGGGGGAAGGAATGAGGGAAACACAGAAAATGCAGGGTGTGTAGAGAGCGCAGGAAGGTATCGAAACGGTAACCCGTTCGTCAGCTAAGTGGAAGTACCTTGGAGCGAGGGCCCTGTGGTCGGAGTGGTGGTAAGAGCACTAAAATCCGAAGCCGCAGAGGCGTCAGAGGAGGAAGAGGAGGAGGCGGAAGGGGAGGGCGTGGGCGCGTGCACGTGGTGAGCGGGGAGCGGCGTGCGGGTGAGCACGGTATCTGTGTGGAAGAAGCGCAGCAGGTGTGCGACCACCTTGTCCCGGTCCGTGGGGATCTGATCCACCGCCGTGCACACCAGCTTCATTAGCGGCATCGTGTACGCGCGGAGCTTTGATGATTCCTGTAGGGGACAGGCACATAGGGTCAGGCAGAAGGCAGAACAATGGGGAACAAGGCGAGTATTCTCCAACACACTGTGCGGCACACCAGCTTCATTGGCGGCAGAGTGTAAGCGCGGAGCTTCGCGGATTCCTGTTGGGGAGGGAGGCAGAAAAGGTCAAATCGAGGTGGTGGAGCGGGGAAGGAGAAGGAGGGAACGAAGGAGGTGGGCCGAATCGTCGTGTGATCCACTAGAAAAGAACGTTCTTGTAAGTTCAGCATACGTCACTGCCCTGTCTGTCCATAAACGGTATCCGCCACCCTCCCCCTAATCCTTCTTCCCCACCATCCCTTCCAAAAACCATCACCTCTTACTTTCCCCCGCCAACACCCCCCTTCTCCCCCCTGCCTCCCCCCCGCACCTGCCACTCCCATTCCGCCGCCAGCGCGTGCGCCAGCGCCGCGGACGGCAGGCGGATGATGCGCTTGGCGGGCGTCTGAAGCATGCGCCCATCCAGCATCACCACCCATCCGCCTCCGCCGTCCTCCGCCGCCCGCGCATATGCTGCCTTGAATGGCCGCTTCCGAAGCAGCGGCGGACCTGTAGGTTCGGCTGCTGCGTCCACCGAACCTGCTGACCTCGCTGGTTCGGAATTTGCTGAACCTTCCGCGTCTGCACCATCGGTGCTGCGCCTGGCTGCGCTGCTTGCGCCATCCTCTCCCGCAGGGCTACCCGCGGAGGTAAACGCGCGAGCGGCTAGCACTCCTGCCGCATGCCTGACCGTCGATTCTGCCACGTGGCACGAGGCGGGGATCGGACGGCCAAGATCGCGTTTTAGAAACGACGAGTCATAAGCGCTAGTGTCCCAAGATCTACTATAGGAGACGGACGGATCAAAGACCAATCGTAAAGCTGCGGATACGGGAGGGATGGCGAAGTGTGGAGCATTTTTATTGCATAAACCCGATCCCAACACTGCAGCCGAAGCTGATCTTAATGGTAACGCCGATGGAAATCCCGACGCCGTTATGGATGCTACTGCTGCACGCACGCGGCGCGTGGCACAAGCGCGCATCACGAAGACGTTTTCAGAAGCTGCTCTGATCGGGTTGGTACTCTCCCAAGTACCAAATACCTGGGAGAGTAAGGCGGTGTTTGTACGAAACGCCACTGCCGAAATTATTGTCGCGAAACGAATGTCTCGGTTGTGTTTGTCGTCAAATCTTTCGTCTTCGTTCTGTCCTGCTCCACCCACACTTTTTTCCACTGATTGGGTACGAAGAAAGCATTCTGCTCGCACTTCGAGTTGCTGTTGTCGTCGAACACGCTACCCGGTTTTTCGTCGCTTTAAAGGCGGGGTGCAACTTCTTAGGAACAGTAGCAGGACAAACATGGAGTGTGCGTAACGAGACCCTTATTGGATGAAAAAAATGGAATCTCGGAAAAGACAAACTTCTCGCCACAGAACTGCCTGGGACAACCAAGTTCCAAGCTATAATACTTCGAAGTTGAAGCTGATAGTTGGGCCACGGCTGAATATGATACCGGGGTGCACATTCAGCTGAATGTGCATCAAAGGTTATCCCTTGACTGAGTGGGTTACGAGGTGTGCTTTCAACCCCTTCAAGTCGAAATTCGTTTCCCCCCTCCCCCGCAATTTCGTTTCCCCACGCCCCCGCAATTTCATTTCCCCCTCCCCGTCGAAATTCGTTTCCCCCCTCCCCCGCAATTTTGTTTCCCCCCTCCCCCGCAATTTCGTTTCCCCCCCCTCCCGCCAATCTGTTTCATCCCTCCCGCCATTCGGTTTCACCCACTCCCGCCATTTCACCCCCTCCCGCCACCTACGAAATGCCCGAAGCTCTAGCGGAATCATTTTTTTGTCGCCCCTCGTGAGCCAATCACTGTTTTTCTCCAAACCCCCTTCCCAACATCTCAAGCCGAACCGCGTTGAATGTGCACCCTGGTTTTAAGCCTGCTATAGCGTAATGCGCTTCTCCGCTATGTTCGCAGACCTGCCAGGCTGTACATATATTTCCAAGGCACTTCTCTGACACCTTCCTGACACGCCTTCCCGCTCAACATTGAGAACTCCCCAAGCGTCTTCCAGATTTCCTCTAGAGATTCGAACCTCTGCAGCATTCCCCCATCTTCCCTTCCCTCGTGTCTGCTCAGTACTTATCCTAGATATTCCCAACCTGGATATCTTCCCACCTAATCCTCTCTTTCCACAAGTAGCCATTGTCTGGGACGACTTGAGAACGACCTCATTTTCAGGATAATCTTGACCGGTAATCTAGATTCCAAGCCGCCTTGAAACTATCTAAAAATGCACCCATTCGGATTCAGCAGCAAAGCGGCAGAAGATGCGGCCCTCGCAGCGGCATGGTGGAACCAACCAATCCCACCGGACGTAAAAAAGATGCTGCAAAAATAAATTCCCAAGGACGAGCAGCTCGACGCCGCGGAGAACGCGGCACGAAAGTCCAAGGCGCAGAAAGGAGCGGGAGCCGGAAAATCCGGCGCCCAGGAAGGCCCGGAGAAGCTTCTTCAGCTGCCTTGCCGCGCGGAAATAGTTCACTATTTGGACGTCAGGGATGGCGGGTGGGATCTTAAGGAGTGCGAGTGCTGCTTCGACCGCGCAGTGAGCTACCGCGGGCAGCGCGCCCTCAACATGATGAGCCTAGAAGACTTCCGCTCGCACCTGCACAAGCAGATGCCGGACTCCGTCCCCGCCGCGCCCCCGAACCGCCCGACGCGCGCAATTCTAGACCACTCCGCGCGGAACCCGGTGTGGGCGGTGGGGGGGCCGCGCGGGGCTCCGCCCCCCGTGCACTACCACTGGAAGTGCGAGCGCGCGCCGTACCTCTGCGCGGAAGGAATGCTTGTGGAGTGGTTTGCGGAGCCCCGCGTGGGCGTACTCATGGACCTGGGGAAGATCAGATCCAGAATTCCTGCGATTCTCAATGCTGCAGGAGTCTCTTTCCCGTCTCCATCTCTGTCTCAGTATCCGTCTTCGTTCTCTTCTCCTAAGGCTGTTGCTGACCATGCCAGTGCTGGTGCACGTGATGCTGCAGTTACCACCTCCTGCTCCTCCTTCTCCTGCTGCTACCGCTGCAGCAGCTGCTGGGCGGCTTTCCGGCGCGCTGTCAGTTTCGCTACATTTCTCGTGCTTGTAGCGAGGTCTCCCCGCATCGTGACTATATGGAGGGCGCACATGGACTCTTACTCCGCGGCGTTCCCAGCCATGGCGGCGGCGCTGGGGGCGGGGAGGCAGGCGGAGCAGGACAGCTTCGCTTCCGCGCTGGTGCAGATCCTGGGGGTGAAGGAGCGCGGAGATCTCAAGGAAGGCTTCGGGTTTTTCCTACAGGAACTTCTCTCCGGGGGGCTTGAGAAGGCGCATGCGGAGGGGAAGGGGAGAGGCGCGGGGAGAGGCGCGGGAGGGGGCGGCGCAGGGCGGGGCGCAGCGCGGGCGGGGGGTGGCAGAGGGGTGGAGGGGATGGGGATGCAGGAGATAATGAGGGCGATGGTGCGGCTGATGGAGAAGGAGGGGGGGATGGGGCCGGAGGAGCGGAGGAGGCTGATGGGGGATCCGGGGATGATACCTATGGATGCGATGATGAAAATGCTTGGGGATAAGGATGCTATGCGCCGGCTCACTCAAATGCTGGAGGCGGAAAGTGGGGGGAATGGGGGTGATAACTAGGGGGAAAGCGCGGGTGGTGATGATGGTGGGGGGGAGGGGAAGGACGGGAATTGGCGGGAGAAGCTGAAGGGGGCGGCGTGGGAGAGGTATGTGGATGGCATGGGCTGGATACTGGAGCATGGAGGTGGGGAAGGGAGAGAGTTCAGCTGTAGCCACTGCAACGGCAACAAAAGCCGCGGCAGCAGACGCAGCAGCAACAGCGGAGGCGGTAGCGGCAGTAAGGAGGTCACTAACGCCCCTGCGGGCATGTATGTGAGTGGCCTGGGTGCTACTGAATTCGCCCTGGCTGTGGCGGGTGTGCTGTGTGAGCCAGAGCACAGCAGGGAGGCACAGATCTTCCTTATAGACGGGAACAACGCGAACAAGACCCGCGTGGAGGAGGAAGCCATTGAGGCTGCTAGAGGGAGAGTGGGCAGGGAGGGGAGGCTGGCGGGAGTGGATGGAGAGGTGGGTGGGGGAGGAGGAGATGAGGCAGCAGCTATCTCCAATCCTGCTCCTGTGGGCAGTGCTGTTTCCGATTCTAGGCTTGTACCTGTCAACTCCAACGCTGTTGTAGCAGCCTTCACGTATCGGGCAGGCTGCATCTTGCAGTGGGTCCGGATCTATGGCTCAGATTTCATCTCAGTGAAGAAATGCTTCAAGGACGACCCGCACGGCAAGGTGCTGGCCATGCACCATCCGCTTCGGGATCTTCCGAGCCTGCTGGTCAGGCTCGGCGCCATCCCCAAGCCTTTGGAGGGACGAACCTTTCCAATGGAATGGGTGGAGTGGCCTGAGGGCGATGAAGCTGCCGTGAAGCTTCCTCGTGACCCCAGTGAGAGGTGTTTCCGGCTGGGAATGGTGGATGAGATTGAGACGGGGGATTCTGGGGAGGGTGGGGAGGGCGGATCCGGGAAGGGGTCATCTAGGCAGGCAGCAAGGGCTGGGGGAAAAGGGAAGAAAAAGGGTGGGGGCGGGAGAGGAGGCAGGGGGGGTGGGAGGGGGAATGGAAGGAGGAGAGACCCTGGAGAAGGGCCAGTGAGCCTCATGGACGCTCTTGTAGGGGCAACCGCCCCTCAGAACCGAACTGTACCCATCGTTCGCTGCACTGCTGATGCAGAATTCCTAGTGGAGTTTGCAGGGAAGCTGGTGGACCCACCTGAGTGCTCCCAATGCAACAAGTGCTTCGCCACATACACATTCTTCATCCCCACGCTCGCACTCATCGCAAACTACGCCTATCGCCCCGCGTCGGTGCTTTTCAACCGGTTCCTGGCGGTCTTTCCGCCACACACTGCGGAGTTTGCGAAGCTGCTGGAGCTGATGCACATGGAGCCTCTACCCACGGATGTCCCTCCGCTGCTGAACCTACATGTGGTGAGGAAGCGAGCCGAGCAGCTTCCGGTGTTCTTTCTGCTCCACGTGGCCATTCACTGGCCGAAATCCGTGCTGCAGATCGAGGAGTTGGAAGCGGTGGGGAGCACTGAAGGCGCGGAAGGTGTACGGCGCGGTGCTGGGAGGAAGGCGCAGAAAGGGAAGAAGGGAGGGAAGAAGGGGGGTGGGGATAGTGGGGAGGACGGGGAGGACGATGGGGAGGTGTGGGAGGAGGTGAGGGGGTGGTGTCTGGCAGCTATGTTTGCGTGGAAATCAACTCTGAGGGTGGTAGGGCCGGGGATGGTCGAGACATGCAAGGGTAACAAGGCACGGAAAGCGAAGGGGAGCAAGTGGGAGAGTGGGAGTTGGGTCACTGGAATGTGGCAGAGGGCTATCGACCCGAGGTATCGTGGAGACGAGCAGGAGCAGGACGGGCAGAGCAGCAGTAGCAGTGGCAGTGGCAGTGGCAGCAGCAGCAGCAGCAGCAGCAGCGAGGGGACGGGCAAGAAGGGGGAGGTGCCTGCTTATCTGAAGCCGTGGCCGGGAGGGGTTAACCTGCTGGCGTGCCTGCGAGAGATGCTGCTAGGGGAGCCCTGCTACCGCCTTGCTTCCCCTGCTGCTTCGTCTGCTACCCCTGTTGCCTCCTCTACCCCGGCTGCCGCCTCCTCCTCCCGTGCTGCAGTGACCATGGCTGCTGCTGCAAGCACCGTTGCCAGCAGCAGTGCAGCGGCAGCAACGGCGGCGGCAGCAGCAGCAGTGGCAGTGGCAACTGGATCTGCGGCCAGTGGGGGGCGTGTGTGCAGTGCTGAGGGATGTGGGAAGGTGGAGGGCGGTGCTGTGAAGCTGAAGGGGTGTTCTGGGTGTGGCAAGGTGGCGTATTGCAACCGCGACTGCCAGAAGGCTCACTGGCCCTCGCACAAGCTTACTTGCCGACCGAAATCTGCTAACAAGGTAGGTTGCAATGTGGTTGACAATGCGGGTTGCAAGGTCTGTGGATCAGTGGGTACCAAGTTGAGGAGCAATGTGTGTGTTCCTGCCTTTTCCTCGCTTGTCTTTTCCCTCTCTCATTATCGTGTTTACTCTCCTCACCTTCTCCCTCTCCCTCTCTCTACTCCTTTCCCCCTTGGTACTCTGTGCAGGTGTGAGTCCAACAAACGACTGTAACACCTCTCATGCAGCGGTCCCAGTTGCTGTATGCTTTTCCAAATCGGGCGAGTGTTAGGCGTCCTGTCATGAGTCATGAGTCAGCCATGTGTGATGCCAGAGCATGGTGTTGTGTTGAGGGCGAAGCTGGGAGTTGGGGGTACACACACCACACCACCACGTGCGGCTTTACCCCACTCTCCATTCCCAGCATTGCTGAGCTTTTCTGCAATGAGGACCCATCTTCTGTGTGGCAATAGTCAGTGGTCCCTTTCTTTGCAGCCTTGGTTTTGACCAGAGATTTCCATAGTAGTGAGCTTTCACTAGCGGCAGGCTTAGTGCCGTTCTGTTAACCACGGTAGTTTCATTTTGATGCTCTGCTCCTCACTCAGCCCAGCTACTTTACCGTTCAACAAAGTACGATTGTTTCTGACTTTTGATGAAGGCACGTACTGTAAGAGCGTGTTCCTACGGCCTCATATCAGGAAACCTCGTATCAAGAATGCTGTTTTTGCCTGGTAAAACTAGCGAGAGGTTTTGGGTTTAGGGGAATTTTCAGTGTGAGCCTGATACGAGGTTATCTTGATACGAGGATAGGAACACGCTCTAAGCTACGGTATCGTAGTCGGAGTGAGATAATCGTATCGATTTCAGAGGCCCACCAATTTGTTGCCCACCAAGTACATCGCACTCTTCCACAAACTACCTCAGAAACAGGAGGGTAACCTAGGAAAGTAGCTCTGATACCAAAGGTTCTTGTCAATGGACAGAGTGCGCCTAAGTGAATAACTAAGAAGTGATTCTTAGAAGTAGAGTGCAACGGAATGTTGAGAGTAGGAAGGCAAGGGAGTACAAGCATGACAGCCTAATTGAGTTGTACTCACTACATAGCACCTCACTACAGACTATAACAAATGTCAACATTTGACATACCCCCATAGGCTAAATGAGGGGCATCAAATCAAAGCAAGCAGGATGAACAAACGGTCACAAGACCAGTCAAGACAAGAAGCAAGGCAAGCTCAGGGTGGATCTCAAGGACACCACACAAATTCAGAGCACAAGCAAGCGGCTACAAGGCCAGTTCAAGAGTTCATTATGATATATATAGGAGAACACAACAAGCAGAGCAAGTAACAAGTCTACAGCAACCGAGGGCCTACCTCAACAAGCCCCAACTGCACACAGAACATGTGGTGGTCACCAAGCTCCAGGGCCTTGGTGAAGACGTCTGCAGTATTGGCCTTTGAGGCCACAAAGTCTAGGCGTGCCTGGCCGCGTCGCTGCAGCTCTCGCAGGAGGAACTACCTCATGTCAATATGCTTCACTCTGCTCTCCAGTCGAGGCTCTCGACAGAGGAGGATCATGGCCTTTTTGTCAGCGTACAAGGTTGGTGCAGAGCGAGGCCGCTCACCAAGGTCGGCGAGCAAGAAGGTCAACCAACGAAGCTCCTGTGCCGCCATGGCACCAGCGTAGGTCTCTGCATCTGCACTGGAAGTAGCCACAGACGATGACCGTGTAGAACTCCACGACACAGCACCAGCTCTCAGACTGAAGCAGTAACCCTGAGTCGAGCGCTGAGTCTCCACGTCGTCAGCGTAGGAAGAGTCACAGTGACTAGTCAACGCCACTGGCTGAGTCCCTCCAAGCACAAGCCCCATGCCTGATGTAGTCGCCGGTACTTCGCCACCCTCACAGCAGCTGTCCAGTGGACAAGACAGTGTCTTCCAGTCGCAACAAAGCGAGAAAGTATGCTGAGGGGAAAGGCGAGGTCCGGCCGAGTACAAGTCATCAGGTACACGAGGCAGCCCACCAGCTCTGCGTAGGGACCACTGGGCTCAAAGGGCTCGTCCGGAAAGGGGCCAGTGAGTCTGTGGTCAACAGCAAGAGGTGTGGGCTGTGTGGTGGAGAACTGGAAGTCGAACCGCCGAAGGACCTGCTGCACCATGTGTGACTGAGTCAGTGTGATGGTGCGAGCGGCTCTGTCCTTGGTGATCTGCGGGCCAAGGTAGCGCTGCACTTCACCTAGGTCAGTGCACTTGTGTCTCTTCTGCAGTTCGGACTTCACCTAAGCCAGAGCTGCCCTGTTTGCTGTGGCAAAGACCAAGTCGTCGACGTACACTAGTATAAAGAAAGGAGTGGAACCAGTGCGAACAAACAGCGACGGGTCGGCAGAGGAAGGACAAAACCCAAGGTCACGAAGCGTGGAGCGGAGAGTGTCGTGCCACTCACGGGGCAACTGGCGGAGACCGTAGACTGGCCGTCTTAGGCTCCACTGGGTCCCAGGTGGGAAGGTGTCAGTGAAGCCAGGAGGGCAGCGCAGCCAGATCTCCTAGTGTAGCCGGCCCTAAAGAAACGCAGTAGAGAAGTCAAGGGAGTGCAGCTCGTAGTCTCGCTGTGCTGCTACGTGCAGTAACAACCGAAGAGTAGTCATCTTCGGGGTCGGGGCGAAGGTCTGGAAGAAGTCAACTCCCTCACGCTGACTGAAACCCCTAGCCACGTAGCGCACCTTGAACACAGGCGGTGAACCAGACAACCGCTTCACCTTGAAGAGTTACATGCCATCGAATACGTTCGCCCTGGGAGGGGGAACTGCGTCGACGTAGGGGCCTGTGGATCTCCAAGACGCTAACTCCGAGGCCATAGCCGCTTTCCACTGTGAGGCCCACGCCCCTGACACTGCCTTGCGGTAAGTGCGAGGAGTCGGTATGTCAAGGCCGTCGGGGTCTCCCTCAGGGGATAGCAGCATGGCACAGACAGAGGGAGAAGCGGCTGCCCAATACTCCAGCTCAGACTCTTTGTCCTCTAGGACGTCACAACCAAGGGCAAACTCACCCCCGACGGACAGAGGACGGGAGGGAGGAGCTGGCACCACATGGGTGGTGTAGTCAAGGCAACTGGCGGTAGCAAACTCAGCGAGCGCGGCAGTGAGAGCCGAGACAGACGACGGAGGGAAATGAGAGTCGGTGACAAGAGTGGCGAGAACACGTGGGACAACAGGACAACCGGCACGGTAGTAGTCAGTGACAGGAGTAGGGGGGGAAGGGAGAGAGGACGGAGGAGGAGACGGGAGAACGGACTCAGGAGGAGGACGACGAAGAGACGAACAAAGGAGGGCCGTGCGGAGGTCGGGAACGGGAGACGAGTGACGAACACGCGGAGGGCAGGGATGGACACGAGAGTGCGGGACAACATGTGGAGGAGACTGCGGTGGAGAAGAAGACCAAACCACCGGACTGGCGTCAGGAGGAGGAAACGTGGGACCAAATGATGGAGGGGACGGAGTGTGAACAAGAGGAGAGGAGGGAAGACCAAGGGCCCGAAGGCCACTCACGGGTGGGAACAACTCCCGCTCTAGAGGGAGCTGCTGCGGTCGCAGCTGCGGCGGCGGTGTCTGCTGCTGCTGATGCCGCTGCTATTGCTGCTGCTGCTGCTGCTCCAGCAGGTCCAACCGCCGCAACTCCTGCCGCTCCCTCTCCAACAACACCTGCTCCTCACGCTCACGCCGACGGGCCGCCTAGAGACGCGTGTCGTGGCGGTGGGGAGACGGAGTGGACTCGGCAGAACCAGTGTCTCCAGCTCCAGTCTCCTCAGATGCAGCACCTCCAGTGCCAGTGCCTCCAGCACCAGCACCCCCAGAACCAGCACCTCCAGTGCCAAGACCTCCGACTCCAGCATCCCCAGAACTAGCACCTTCAGTGCCAGCACCTCCAACTCCAGCACCCCCAGAACTAGCACCTCCAGTGCCAGCAACTCCAGCTCCAGCACCCCCAGCTCCAGCACCCCGTGAACGAGCACCCCCAGACCGAGCACCGCCAGCGGCTGCACCTCCAGCTCCAACACCAACCGAGTCCACAGCAACCTGTCGCGGAAGTGTCGAAGGCTGCTGAGGGGACTGTGAGGAGGACTGCGGGGAGGGAGACGCTACCTGACGCGCGACCGAGGGTAGAGGGGTAGCGTGGGACACACCAGACGGGGCAGGACCAGGGGGGGCCGGGGGTACCGGAGGAGCGGGAGCAGGAGGAAGAGAGGGTGCGAGGAAGAGGGGGGGAGGGGGTACCGGGAGACCTCGACAGGGGTACCGGGTATAGTAGGACACGGACTCGTCAAACCGGACGTCACGTGAGTCTAGGAACTGGTGGAGGGGAGGGTGGAAAAAGGACCAGTCGGCAGAGTCCACCGGGAAACCAAGGAAGACACAGGGGAATGCGCGTGCCGAGAGCTTGTCTGCGGAGGTGTCGCGAACAAGCGCAAGGCAGCCCCAGACACGAAAGACCGACCCAACACCAGGGGACCCGTCCAAAGACTGGTCGGTGAAGCCTCGGGCCGTGAGACGCGCGGCTGGAGGTTCAGCTGGTGTGGGGCGTAGCGAACCGCGTAGGGCCACAAAAAATGGGGCGCACGGGCATGGATTATGGACGTGCGAGCAATGTCCATGACCAAACCAATGCGGCGCTCAGCAACCCCATTCTGCTGTGGGGACTCTGGAAGCGTCCAGGACCGTACGATGCCCTGTTCGCCGCAGAATCCGGCAAGAACGCCGGAGCGAAACTCGCCCCCACGGTTGGAGTGGAGACAACTGACACGACGACCACGAGTGCCCTCAGTGGCCAGAAGCCACCGTATCAGCGTAGGAGTCACCTCGGACTTCTTCGCGAGAGGAAACGCTGTGGTGTACCTGGAGAAGTCGTCGACGACCACCAGAAAGTAACGCTCCCTCCCAGAACCCTGCGTCGGGGCAGGGCCCCAGACGTCCAAGTGGAGGGTCTCGAAGGGAAAAGTGGCCGGATGAAGGGAGGAGGAGTGGGGAGTGGCGCGTATGCGACCGGCGATGCAAGGAGCGCAAGGGGGAGCAGGGGAGCAGGGGAGGTGGGGAGCGACGGAAAGGTGTGTGGGAGACCGGTGACACGCCTGTAAGTGGTCATCTCGCGGAGGCGGGGGAGCAACGGGTGGCCAAGGCGGTGGTGCCACAAGACGGTCCGGTGGGTGAGGGACCGACAGG